TGGAATTTTTCTGCTTCCAATTAATAAAATGCGCCTGATGGCTTCCCTAAACGACAACCTGTGATAAGGTTGCTAGCTGGGGAGGAACGGGCCCCTTCTCATGCTCGTTATGTTCTTGCCCTGTGGAGACAAGAACTCATTTGTTTGGTGAGTGTGTTGTATTTAAATAACTATATGCATGGCTGTTGGCTCGAGCTTTTCCCAAAATTCCATCTGACAAATAGGAAGAAGAACTTAATTGGGCTACAAACAATCTCAAAGGGAAGATGCTACAGAACCAGGTTGCCAGGATGATTTGGAGTGCTATAGTCAGCACAATGTGGAGAGAGCGATGCTTGCTGAGACATGGAGGATCCAAGAAGAGCCATCAGGAGCTGATTGCAAAAATCCAGAAGGATGTTACCACGCTGTTTTCAGCTGAGATTGTTGAGAGTTTTTGGGTTTGTTAATGTTTTTCTCTTGGTTCCAGTTTAGGTTTCCTTGTTGTTAATAGGAAGTTACAGTTGCTAAGTATAGAAAACTTCAAAAGTAACTCAGTTGGCGGGGTGTGTTGCCAAAGGTTTTGAGGCTCTTTTTCATGATATAAAAGCTAACTAATTCATAAAAAAAATTGTAGCTACGAAAATCTCATAAAATTTAGATACCAAAATATAATTGTTCAATAATTTTACATTAAAATTAAATTTGAAGTATCAAAATGTAAAAATGTTACATAGTGACTAATTTGTAATTATTTAGGATAACATCTATTTTTTATCCAGTCCCTTTTTAGATTCTTTTATATTATCCAAACCTATCGAAATACTAAGAATTAGGCAAATGTTAACTTTCAGTTAGCAATTTTGTAAGTAATATTGATGTGACAATATAATACTAACTTGGAAGAGATACATGTAAGTCAACATTCCAAAATTTTCGTATTTTAACTAAGAAAATAGTTTAAAAAATTATTAACGATAACGTAAAATAACTAATATTTTGATGCATTACGAAAATTTTGGATAATTAATGGAATTTTAATATATTTGGATAATATAAAAGAATCTCCAACGAATTTGAAAAAACATAAACATTACCCAATTTTTTATGCAACCGTAATTCCACTCCAGCTTTATATATAGTAAATATATCAAACCACTGGATTTTTATATAGAACAACTAAATCATCAAGTTTCTGTTTTTTTGTAATCGTAAAAGTATAGCCATGAATTCCTATTAATTAGCCAATGTAAGCATTTTATGTCAGTTCCTCTGAACTCTTTTTATTTTGGTCATTAATTAGCTGGTGTGATAATTTAACAAGCGCAAAGTTTGACACCTTGGACGCCAAGTGGCAAGTAGACTAAAATGTTGATTTTGTTCGGATTGTTTTAATGACCAATATGAGCATTGTTATCGAGTATATAGGATAGATTGGGTTTTTTCTCACAATATTTTTCAAACAATATTTACAAAGTGCATCGAACGTATTTTCTAAAATACTGTGTTGCCATATTGTTAAGAGCGTTGGAGTGTAAGTTGAAGAGCATTTAGATTTTTTTTATTGTTAGAGCATCAATTAGGTTAATTTGAATTGAATTAGAATATATATGTTTTATAATAATGTATGGATCATCACTCTAGCATTGAACACGTGTCGAACATTTTAAATATGAAATTGTTGTACTATCTTTCTTGTAACACGAGATGGATAATATCCATATCGACGTTTAAGTACTTTTGGTTGTAATCCTAGTGGGTAGGTAACCCTAATTTAGATGTGAGAAAAGGGGGAGGTTGTCTCAACACTAATACCCTTATGTCTCACAACCAGGTAGCATTATTTCAATTGTGGGTGCATGAAAGAATATACTACTAAGTGAAGAACGTGGGTGGCAATTGTCTTGTCTTCACCTATAAATACTAGAGTGAGTATTAAAAAGGAGAAAAGAACGTTTTATCAAATTATAATTATCTCTAACACATGTACACAAATAGTTATAGATCAGATCTTCTATGAAAGGAGGAGATAGACAGGAAGGTAAAGAAAAGAGGAGTCGTGGAAGAACTCAAGAACGAAATCAAGGCAATGCAACTCGTTTCGTTGGTTTATTAGGTGAGTCACATAAGAATCCAGGGAAGAATATGTGAACGGCTATTTGCCGCCAACCAAATTGCTATTTGCCGCCAACTATAAAAAAAAAAAAAATTTGAATTCAAATTTTGAATTTTCCCTTCCTTTCATTCTATAAATTCGGATATCAGGAACATTTGACTCATTCCAACAAAAACTTCTGTTGACGAGCCTAGTGCCTCCGTCGCTGGCACCGTTCTTCCGTCGTCGACTAACCTCCCGTCGCCCTCAATCGTCGGAAAACAAGTAAGTTTACTTTTTCCGGACAGTTTTCCAGTTTTCCGTCAAGTTTTCCAGTTTTCCGGCAAGTTTTGCAGTTTTCCGGCGAAAAACACTGCGAGCCGAAAAAAAATTGTGGCCGGTGCGACGGCCGGCCGAAAAATTCTTTCAGCCCGGCGACGTCTCGGCCGCAAATTTTTTTCGGCCGGTTGCCGAACACGCCGGCCAAAAATTTTCCAGCGGCGTGTTCGTCGGCCGGCCGAAAAAAATTTGCGGCCGGAGCGACGTCGGGCCGAAAGAATTTTTCGGCCGGGCGTCGCAACGGCCGCAAATGTTTTTCGGCCCGGCGGCGCATCGGCCGCAAAAGTTTTTTGGCCCGACGTCGCTCCGGCCGCAAATTTTTTTCGGCCGGCCGACGCACCGGCCGCAAAATTCTTTCGGCCCGGCCAGTTTTTGTTTTTAATTTAATTTAATATGATAATTAATTAGTCAACAAAAAATTACTTAATTAGTTAATAGAAATTAGCAATTAGTGTTAATATTTATTTAAGTTGGTGTATAAATGTTTTTTTTAATAGGCGTATGAATGTTTAATTACTTAGATTAGTTAATAGAATTTTAATTAATTAAGAATTGATTTAACAATTAATGTTAATATTCAGTACATTAGTTAATAAAAATTAATTAATTTGTGATTAATTAACAATTAATGTTAATAGTACATTAGTTAATAGAAATTTAATTAATTAGTGCGCATCTAAGTATGATATTGTGTAAATTTGTAGATAATTAGATATGGATGATGCGGGTGATGCGGGTGGGAGTGAGTTGTATAGATTCAATGGTAGGGTTGTTGATGCATCAGCACGAAGGAAGAATAAGGAGAAGAAGTGCTCTCGAGATATTGGACAGTCACAGGAAATTTTAGGGGAGGATGAGTTAGAGGCTCCTACTGTAGTTGCTCGTTCGGCATCACGGGTGTCTGGTTCTCATGGGAGGAACCAGGGTGCTGCATCGAGGGTAGATGGAGATGCAGATCGACTAGTTGACTCCGCAGCGGTAAGATTTGACCACTATATCGTTACTCTATTATAAATATACTTAGCATGAAACTAAAAATTGTTCTTGTTATTTTTTTATGCAGCGTGCTCGCGACCTTTTGTACACGTTTGCACCTGCGGTTCGAGCAGCAGCAGGGACCGAGGAGGAGTTTCTTGAGCATTCTCGACGAGCCTACAGCGCACTGCACGGAGTGCAGTATGTGTGGACTGAGTACTGGGCTTCTCAGGGACTCCCCCCTCCAGGGGATTTTTAGTTGTTTTGATGTTTGGACTGCATGTTTGCATATTTGTGTTTAGATCGGATGTTTGACTACTTATGTATGTTTGGATCGGATGTTTATGTTTAGACTGCATGTATCCATGTTTATGTTTAGATCGGATGTTTGACTACTTATGTTTAGACCGAAAATATCTTGTGGCTCAGCCTGGTTCCGGCCACCGGAATTTTTCGGCCCGGCCTGGTTCCGGCCGCCGGAATTTTTCGGCCCGGCCAGGTTCCAGTCGCCGGAATTTTTCGGCCCACCGTCTGTTCGTTTCAAATCGTCGGAAAATTTGTTCGAAACTACAAAAAAATTACGCACCTGCTTAGTGATGATTCATGGATGCGTGTACGCAGTATATGTCGAGGATAGGCTTTCCCGATGATTTTCCGGCGAGCGTTGAATTTTTCTGATTCAATACGTTCTCTGAAAGTTGGATATGTTGTAGATTGTGAAACTCCTTAACCAAAGATGTATATATACTTTTTTTTTTTTGGTTGGCGGCAAATAGCAAGCCCCAGTGAAAGCAATATTGCAACTCGTTTCATTACGTTTATTAGATGGTGGATCGATGTTATTCGTTTTTTGGTAAATTTCATGATGGTATCTCGGATGCATTTATTATTGAATTATTTGCTCTTCGAGATGCAATGAGATCGTGTCTAATGTGTGAATTTTTGGTTGTGGCATTTTGGATGACTCACCCTGCTCTGTCCAAGGAAGTTTACACACTCGCTGGCAGGATCGTAATGGAGGAGATTCATCAAGTTTTAACATTTTTGTTCGTTTGTAACATATGTTTTTGCTACTCAGAGATTTAAAAGAACTGCCAATTAGTAATAAAATAAACATATTCGTCAACTATCCGATTACATACAGACTACCGCGTATGGTTATTTGCTAGTCTTATACCCTTTGTTTTTTTTTCTTTTTCTGCTGTCTTGGCATATCATGGGGGAACAAGAAAACGACGAATTTGAGCATGTGACAGATGTTGTGGTCATTATAAATCCTAGGGGTGACATTTCGGTTATAACCGATAACCGATCGGCCGGTTATCAGTTAACCGAAATAACCACTCCCCCTACCGAAAATTGCCCGAAATAGACTTCGGTTTCTCGGTTATCAGTTAACCGACCCACTTTTAAGACCAAAAACCATTTCGTCGAGCCTCCGATAACCGACTAAAGTTCGGTTACTTCGGTTACCTGTTAGTGGATAACCGACCGATTAACAGTCTAACCAGCCGGTTAACCGGTAACCGAACTGCCACCCCTAATAAATCCAATTGTCTAGCAAGGGAGGAGATGTGAACGAGGTAAACTGAGATTTAGGGTTTCTCCTTTTAACACAAAGTTAAGTTTATTACCCTAGATCGCAGAAATGAACGGAAAAGTTTATGCCACAAGTGACAGATGAGTATAAAATGCATGGTTTCCTAGAGAACTTAGCCATATTTCATAGATGATTTCGGCTGCAAAACTAGAATGCATCATCAAAAATGTTAACTTGGACCTCGGGTCACAGATCCAATGACCAACAGAAGTTGACGAGTATAATGAACATTCGGACGGACAAAAAGCTTAGATCTTGTTATACAAAAACAAGGGAAGAGGTGCAGAGGTGAAGTCAAACCAATTCTTACACAAGTAACGGATTCCATGAGGTGAAAAAACATTGGAGAAACACTCTTTACAGGAAGCCTCAACCCTCAATGTCGACTATCTAGATGTATAAAGCATTAAGAACTTTATCTTACTCTCACATGTACTTCATAGCTCACCAGCAGGACCACTGTCAACTCTCAAGTTTGAACACCAGAGAGTGAACCCATGATACTTTCACCAACCTCGCTTTTGCACAGAGGACACGATGCATTGATTTTAAGCCACTTGTCCACGCATTCCTTGTGAAAGAAGTGAGAGCATGGCAGCTCTCGCAGCTCATCGTTATTCGCATACTTCCCCAAACAAATGCAGCAAACCTGCAAGAGAAGCACACCAAGTTCAATAGAAAGATATACATACTTCATGTCATCAAAGTCCATTAGTGGAGACATGTTTTACCGCGTCTTCCCCTGAGATGATGCGCTCCTTCTCGGTTCCTGCAGCTACAACCCCACCATCAATGCCACCTGCGTTTCCATCTCTTTTGTTTGACTTGAATTTGTATGTTGGTAGTGCATTGATCGACTCAGGAGTTGCTCCTCTGGTTTGTGCCAGATCCTCTCTATACCCGAGGAGTGAGATAATGCAAGGCAGACAACAGCAGATTGTGGCACAGAGAATGAAGGGCATGGCATATCCAATACAGCTGAAGGTAAGGAACACTATACATAACCTGCCAACAGAAAGATGAATACAAAGGGATAAACAGTCCTCCCCTACAAAGAGAAAGAAGAAAAAAAAACTTGGGTAGTTGTATATGAACGAGAAGTACCTATACATGTTTGGAGCATCACTTCCCGACGAATGACCACCAAAGATCCACACGTTACCCACAACAAACCAAACTGCAAAGAAGCAATCCAAGCCCATTTTGAAGTACTCAACTAGGACCTTCACCCTGCAAATGCATTACTCATAAATTCGACACAGATGTTTTCAACAGGAAACATCATTTCAAAGAGCATATATACTTTCTTAGCATATGATCTCGTTAGAAAGTCATAATAAAGGAAGTAGTAAAAGTTCACATGGAAACTTGGCAATCAAAATCTATTTTCTGAAGCAGCTACTGACACTCTAGAAATATAACAAATAGGATCATCCGATCTTAAGGGTTAAGACTTCAGGTTTTCTAGTATAAAAACTAATATGTATAGTGTTGAACAGCTGAGAAAACAATATTGGATCATTTTAATTTTGGCAACATGTATAAAAAACGGAGGAAAGGAAAGGAGTAATCAAACTGGACATCGAATCTATGTCGCATAGCCATTAATGGTATTGCCATTATAACCAGCTTGACCACTGACACACACATCTCTAGAAGTAGAACTAGTCGATAACCTACGATAACTGCTTCCAACGGCACAAGCATAAGCTTAGGTTCGGCAATGGATTATAGTAGGTAGATACCCTAAGCGCTTCATCTAAGCTAACTGTCTCAAACAAGAGATATTAATGCCACCTAATGTTATGCAAAAGTAACCATAATGGCTGCAAACATATCAAAATAGTTAAGCTCCAGGTAGAAACAGAAACCGGAACGGGTAGTTCTGCTTAACGAAATTACATAACAAAAACAACAGCTGAACAACAAGAAGGTTAAAACCATACCTCGGGTTTACTGCTGCTGTACTTGGACCACCTCTAGGTGAGCCAACCACAGGTCGTCGATCTTCTCCATCAGAAGTTCTGGTCACTGAAAGAGAAAATGGTCCAGCAGGAACATTGATGTGAGTCGAACCCTGACGAGTTTGAGCAGCATCTTGATCAGTCCCTTGGTTTCGAAGATGATAACGCCAGTAAAGAAGGGGGAGCGTCGCTAAGCATCCAGATGCATAACCGATAATCCACACGAACAATGGTGTGCGTGGGTGTTCATCCTTCGATATGGACAGAACGACGATCGATGCAATGATCTGACTCAATGTGAGAGCCAATTCAACTGATATCCATAGACCCGAATTCAGTGGACTCCTGCGTCTACCACGAGCATCCCCTCTCCTAGTACTCCGGGCACTTGATACATTTGAAGACGATGTTGAAGGCTGAGAAACCGAGGGTGCTGAACTAGTTGTAGGTCTGGCATCTGTTGAAAAGGTTTCCAGAGAATGTCCACCATGGGATGTAGATTCGGAAGAAAAATTGGTATTTTCAGGCACATCGATGATGTGATCTGTACTCCTAAAAGTCGCTGATCGCTCCATTAACAGTGGGCAACTATCTGCGAGATTATCAGAACGTAGTTCCGGGGAGAGAACATCCATCTAACCCCACAGACCCCCTTAGATATGATGAAACCATAGATTGAATCTCCAAGCTAGGTTTCCACCAAACCAAAAGCTACTGAACACTCAATGCAAGGACTACCCAGGAACTCGGACAGTATGGGTGATTCACCCTAATCAATTCTGTTCGACAAAACACAAAGCAGCGCACTTACCATCAGAATTGCCATGAAACGAGTAAAAGCCCAGCACAGGGAAGTACTAAAAATGGTCGGATACGATAAAAACAGCTTTCATCGATTCATTCGATAACAAACAAAATTTGGCATATCAAAAGCTCTGGATTTGACGGAGATGACTATGAATGCAATCCCAAAATCTAATTGACAACAAGAAATGAGTCCCCAGTTCTTCAAATCTCTCCTTCCACACGGTATCAATGCCAACTTGCAGGCCATTCAACCAAAGAGGGAATGCAATCCCAAATGGAATATACAAAAGAAAGAAAGATTTCCACCACATTTTCAAAATACTATAGAATATACAGCAAAAAATAATGGTTTCAGCTAACAACTCTGGGAAGATGCCAAAAATGAGCTGGGAGATTTGCTCTACCGAAAAATAGAAAGGAAGCAGAAACCTTTAAGAAAAAAAAAACAGTGAAGCTTTGACTCCTTCGACTTGATTCATTCTTAGATCAAGCAAACAAATTGAAGTGAACCCACAAAATTTCAAAGGGTAAGCGATAATGGGCAAGTGATCAACCATTTCCCGAGAGCTCGAAACTCGAATCGAATTGGAAGAGAGAAGCAGAACGATCGTCACCTGTTTGAGCTGAGGACTTGAGTCGAGAGAGAAGTAAAGGGAGGCAGAGCAGAACCAGCGCCGGCTTCTCGCCAAGAAATGAACGAAGAAGAAGCAAAATGAAGGAGGAGATGGGAGGAGGAAGGGGCGCGTTTCGTCGCTTTTCTTTAAAGTTGGTTGGGGAGGGATAAAGAGTCAGCTTTCGACTTCCATTGCTTCTCTGCTGGTCTGGGAATATCTATCTCTATTCTCTAATACCTCTCGTGGTTTAGATTTTTCCAAAATAACCATTTCTCCCTGTAATTTGTTTCCCGTTAGCGAAGTATCTAAATAGGAATTCATTTTCTTTTTCAAAAAGCATTTATAATAATAATATGTCCGATCCCTCAAAAAAAAAATGTCCGAAATAAATAATACTTATAATATTCTTTAAAGTATTGGTGTTTTTGAGGTGCAATTTAAAGTTACATAATATTAAAAAACAAGTTCAGGTTGTACTATAAGCGAATTTGTATATTTATAATTGTATCATAATGTAAAAAGTACAAATTCAGGTTATATCATAAAAAAATTTATACAAAATACTATATAATATACATATAACATGGAGTTATACCATACTGTTGAAGATATAACTTCAGATTGTATAAAGACAAAAAACTAAAGCACCAATACTTTAAAACACGGTAAAATTCTTCCTAGTTAAACATTATCTTAATATCTATACCAGCATTACATTGCATGCAAATTAGATAAAGCCATTCCATTTGAGTGAAAGCTGGAACCATTCTTGTGAAAACAAAAACTATATGGCAATTTTGTTTTAACATTGATGAATCTCAAATGGTTCAATATAGGGTTTATTTCATAATATGGTAAACCTTCCAATATTCAACTCATATAAAGTACAAAGAGAGAGGCACGTAAATGAATTGTCAATAGCTAACATAATCATATAATTCGAGTTGTTAGAAAACATTCGAAAATAAATCTTATATCATTATTTAATATATCTCTAAAATAAATTAAACACATGCGCGTGAAATGTGTACAAAACTACTATACATTATGCTTAAATCAAATATTATTGTTGGAAATCATGACACAAGACTCTCAATTAAAGATATTGATATGATGTCAATATATGATATAATATTTTCTTAAATCAAAACGCTAATATAATAAAGCATGACAAAATTCATTTGACGAACTCGTTTGATCCAGAGTTGTTAAACCGGTTTATGCCGGTGTGCCGGTTTTGTAAGTGGAATGGTCTGACCGTGGTACAACTAGTATTCATGCCGGTTGTGCCCGTTTTAATAAAATACATGAGGAAAATGGAATTCCTCAATTCCAAATAAATTAGTCATGAAAAAGCAATTAGAATAATTATTTCACACAAAATAATTTATAGCTAAGAATTGGTAACTAATACTAAACAATTAGATGCTTAAAAATAAAATTTTATTAAATAAATTTTATTAATGTTTATAATGATTTGTGTAAAATTTAGTATTACATATATAAAATATAAGGTTAATATAGACAACAAAATTGCTTGTAGTCTAGTGGTGTGTAAGTTAAACTAAAATGAACATGAGGTATTTGGTTCAAATCCTACGGTGGATGTTTATTTTTTTATATAGTGTGTAACATTAAATTCCGGTTTCTGGTCTAATCGGCCGAAATTTCCGGATTTGACCGGAACTGACCAGCATTGACCGGATTTGACCATAGTTAAATACCGGCCCCTTTCCAGCCAGTTTGCTAACTGGTACCGGTTGAACCCAGTTGAACCGGCCGGCACGAAACCGGTTTGACAACCATGACCCAGACAATATAAGCAATATTATTGTGAATTTTGTGTCCAAATCCAACAATCAACCGGGAACATCAATAATGAAAAAACATAAAGAAAATCGCCACCATACTGTAAATTGTAATCCCATTTTCCGAGGAAATGCCGTAATTTTCTCAGGGTTCGAGAAAATCGCCACCATACTGTAATTTTCTTGAAGAGAGCTCGAGTTTTCCTTTCAATGACTGTTCAAAAACATAAAGAAATTCAAAAGGATTTTCCGAACTTCACTTTCTATTTTCTAAGAGATCCACCATTAACATCAAATCAAAACCAAACCATTATCGCGCGACATTCTTCCCTTCTCTTGCTTCATCAATCTCCTCCCAACTAAACCTTCTTGGATTCTCTCTCCGTCTGCGCTCTTTCTCTCTCTCTCTCTAAAGATTGGATCTTTAGGCGTCAGATTCACTTCCTCTTCTTTCTTTCTTTCCCTTTTTCCCCCCTCCACCAAAAATCATTACCCAGAATCTCTCCTCAGTTATCTCGCATTCCCTTTGTCGGAAATCAGGCATCTATTCTGGGTTAGTTTCTGGACATTACAGTGGTCCGATTTCTTTTGCAGATTTGATCTGGATTAGTCTCCGACGAAAATGCCGTTCCAGATTCTGACTTCTCACCTCCCCACAGCCTTCCAAGGAGCAGTGGATCTGCTCACATTCTCGAGAATCTAGGGTTTCGAAAGAGAGAGGGGGTCGCTGGTTTTGGGAACACGCACCCTTAAATCCGCAATGTTCAAGCAAATCTTGAGTAAGCTCCCGAGGAAATCCTCCAAATCGGAGCCACCCGAGTTTAGCTCCATCGAATCGCCGTCTCCGGTTCGATCCAACAGCGCCGGCTCGGCGAAATCGAATGGGCCGAAGCGGACTTCATCAGCAGTGTTCCCGTCCAGTGTCGTCGCCGGCATTGAGCCGCTGGTGCCATTCAGAGACGTACACAATGCGGAGAAGATGAACCTCTTCGTAAGCAAAGTAAGCCTCTGCTGTGTAACTTTTGATTTCTCTGACCCAACTAAGGATACCCTAGAGAAGGATGTAAAGAGGCAGACTTTGCTCGAGCTTGTAGATTTTGTGGCTTCTGGGTCGATGAGGTTCACCGAGCCAGCCATTCTAGCTATGTGTAGAATGTGTGCTGTTAACTTGTTCAGGGTTTTCCCTCCGAGTTACAGGTCTCACTCTGGCAATGGTGGTGGTGAAAATGATGATAGTGATGAGCCAATGTTTGATCCCGCTTGGCCACACTTGCACATTGTCTATGATTTGCTGCTTAGGTTCATAACTTCCACTTGCCTGGATGCTAAAATAGCCAAGAAGTACATAGACCACTCGTTCATACTGAGGTTACTTGATTTGTTCGAGTCCGAGGATCCCAGGGAAAGGGAGTGTCTAAAGACCATATTACACAGGGTGTATGGGAAGTTCATGGTGCATAGGCCTTTCGTTCGCAAGTCGATCAGCAATATATTCTATAGGTTTGTGTTAGAGACCGAGAAGCATAATGGGATTGCTGAGCTGCTGGAGATTTTCGGGAGTGTAATAAGTGGTTTTGCTTTGCCCCTTAAAGAGGAGCACAAGCTGTTTCTGTGGAGGGTTTTGATTCCTTTGCATAAGCCAAAGTCTCTTGGGGTTTACTTTCAGCAGCTCTCTTATTGCATAACGCAGTTTATTGAGAAGGATCCCAAGTTGGCTAGCATGGTGATGAACAGAGTGTTGAAGTACTGGCCTGTAACGAACAGCCAGAAGGAGGTGATGTTCTTGGGAGAGGTGGAAGAGATTTTGGAAGCTATTAACATGGTTGAATTCCAGAAAGTTATGGTTCCCCTGTTCTGGAGGATTGGTTGCTGCATGAACAGCTTTCACTTCCAGGTATGTTCATGTTTATTTTCTTTGTTGCATGTGTCCTTTTTTGTTTGCTCAACCAATGTGCTTTATTCCTATGTTTCCATCCTTCCATGCATTGATCTATACCGAGTTTATCATTGTCAATATTGCTAGTTGTCAATGTCTGCTTATGGTTGAAGTTATTGCCTGCGCTTGATGATCATAACTCTATGTAATTGTTTGAGCAACACCAAAGCTTTGGTAGATGGATTCTGAAAATTAGGAGATTGTTAAGAACATATTGATTTCAAAATATAACCTGTCTTTTACATTGTCAGACCCATATATGCATCCATTTGAAGTTCTGTTTATGCCTTTATCCTGAAGGTCTAAATGTGAGATTCGATAAAATCCACTTGCTCCATCAGGCATCAGCAAGTGGATTTACCATATTCCATCAGCCAACCGACCCCTTAGTTGCATGTTATGAATTGTGTCCAGTCGGCTTAACTTTCCAGCACTATAATCATTCAACCACTTGATGCCTCACACTGATCCTGCTGCTTTGGGCAATATATTTCCCCTTCTATATATCTAAAACCTGTCCTGATCTTGCTGGAGAAACCAAATTACTAGCTTTTGCATTGTGGTCTGTGAAATTGCCTCAGGTGGCTGAACGCGCCCTTTTCTTGTGGAACAACGACCAAATCGTGAACTTGATAGCACACAACCGGCACGTGATCCTGCCTATCATATTTCCAGCATTGGAGAAGAATGCACAGAACCATTGGAACCAAGGAGTGCTTAACTTAACTCTCAACATTAGGAAAATGTTCTCGGAGATGGACGAACAGCTCTTCCTATCGTGCCTTGCCCAGTTCAAGGACGAAGAAGAACAGCTGAGTGTTTTAGCTGAGAAGAGGAAGGAAGCGTGGCAACGCCTGGAGAATGCAGCGAGCCTGAAGCCTATAACTGGAAACACTGCTGTTCTAGTAACCCCTCTGGCAACCAAGATCACATGTTGACAGTAGTAGGCATCAGTGGGTGGCATCCTAATTGCTGTTGTAGGATATATTCTTTCTTTTGTTTTGCTGGTGGTTTCCTTTTTTTCTTGTTGGTGCTATGACCGCCCGTTGTTGTATAACTAAGTAGCTCCTGATCTTCTGTATCTTAAGCTTGTTCTCCACCATTTGTAGCAATGCCCTGCTGTATTGGATTCTGTTTAGCGTTCCCTTTTGTAAGCTTATGAGAAGGGTAAAGAAATGGGCCATGCAGTAAACCATTGGCTTATTTTTCTTCCTCTTGTTGTCAATAGAGAGTCGCACTGACCTTTTGAACAATCTTCTTCCCATTCACAATGAAGGGAAAGAGTGCCCCAAGTGTGGATTTATGTGCTTATTCAAACCTAATTGGAACCCTATTTTAGAAAGGGTCATCATTGACAGTGGCAAATTTTCTTACATTCATTCCAATCTATGTTACCTTTGAGTCAACGATCACATCATGGATTGTGTTAGTGGTAGTGTCTAAATACAATCAAGATTGATTGTATTTGCACAAGTGCAAGGTATCCATGCAATAATGCTATTACATTCCAATAATAAGGCTGATGTTATGTTTGTGTGAAGAACGTGCTAATCAATAACTGGAGAAAGTCCTGGGCATCACTAGTCAAATGTGAGTACATAAGGAAAACGGCTATTAATGAATAAAAAGTGCTAGTTTGTTATAGATTGTGAAGCGTTGCTCCGCAAACCGCAATAGGGAAGGCTATTCATGCATTTCCCTTGATCCCAGTAGCAGTTTGCAACTGATTACAACGAACATCAGAGTTTGGCTCAACAAATTCACGAGGTTTCAAGATACAAAGTACTGAAGGCCTGAGAAATTAGCTCAGGTACTCTCCTCTTTTACAGTATCCCCACCTTCTCCTTCACCTCAAAAGACCTGAAACTTTATTCCTCCCTCCCTGTGCCCCCCCTCAATATAGAAGTTCCCTCAAAAAATTGTGGTAGATTTCATGAGACCATCTTTCCTTGGTCTGGAAGTACCACAACTAACTTAGATTAGATGTTACCCTTTTAACAACCAAGACAGTAACTTGAGTGAAATTAAGTTAAATGAAAGAGCATCACCAACTTTAGTTGGAATGTGACAAGTTACTGCAGCTGAAAATCAGGATCATCTTCAGAGAAGTCAAGGATGTAGAAACCTAGATGGTCATCTGTCCATCATTCGAACAGTGATTGAACTCGTTCTGGAGATGACAAATTTGACACACTCTTGAACTGCAACGAACGAGGAAAAAACTTAGGAAGACAGCCATTTATAATGTATATATGGGGTTGGCCTAAATGAGCTGTTTTCTAACATATAATTACCTTCTGATGTTTGTACTTTTCGCGTATGGCATTGAGGGGACAACCACTAATGTTGAGCTGTAGATCTTCCAGTGCGAGTACTGTACTTCTTAGCTCTGGTGCACTGTAATTAGTGTAATGCTCTAGAGTTTGATTCTGTCACACATAGTAAAGGCAGCCTCTTTGATTCAGTGAAAGTTTGATTAACAAGAAACAGACGGATAAAAGGGAAGTGCAACATGTACCAGATAAGAGAGAGAGAGAGAGAGAGAGAGAGAGAGAGAGAGAGAGACATACCCAGGGGTGAACTGATTGATTGAGTGTCCATCTGGCCAGAAACACAGCAGATGCAGCAACTAAAGAAGGAAGGAACTTTATGAAGTTATATTCAACAAGAGTCAACTCTGCCAAGTAATTTGCCAAGTACTCCAGTTCGAGACAAGGATCCTGTTACAGAATTAATACAATCATCACCAGTTAGTTTTTGTGATGTCTGGTTCATTAGTTCCATAGTTATCTAATTGCAGATGCACTACTCATTTTTTTATGATCTCGGATACCTTGTAAGAGGTCTGTGCTGCTTGAATGAATCTCCTGAAAAAACAAAAAGTTGAGGAAAAAAGATCATGTCATTGACTTTTCTGGTAGAGTTGGAAGGGGATGTGGTTCAATGCTATACCTTAGAAATGTCTTCGTGGTGGGAACTGACAAATTAAAGTGCATGATATTCACAACTTGGCTCTCCATTTTCAATACCTGCACACACATTAACAGCTTCAGCATTCTTCTGTGTTGCAGGGACCAATGCAGTTCAAACGTGATACATAATAAGGTCAGAATGTCAAATAATTGAAAGAAGAAAAAGGACTAAATCTGCATCCTTTACGCACCTGTTCTCTTGTGTAAGTATTGTCAGTGATGAAGCAGAATTCTTCTACCCGTGGAGCAAAGATTTCTTCATACTTTCTGAAACCATAGATAGGAGGACAGACCACATATAAGAATTATTTAGTAAAGCAGGATGATCCAATCAAGCTAAAACTATATAGCAAACTTTCATAAGATTTTACAGAAAATGGAACTTACGACGCAATTAGCATGCATGTAACACCAAGTAATTGGAGTCTTTGTTTCTCGATAAAAGTTTGAGAGAGATATCGGTCAATGAGATTAACAGTAAGGTAAAGGGTATCTGGAACAAGCTTATATTCTTCAGCAACCTGAAGATAGAAGAGGAAACTATCGATCACACTCCCCCATTAACTGATGATCAACATGGTTTTACACACATAAAGCAAGAAAATAGTGTTATTTTTAATCATGGAAGTTTCCCGTCAACATGAATAGAGCTCTTGTTTAGCTTTGCCAAGAGCAAAAACACCTCTAGAAGTGAAAGGTGAAACCATATTTGCATTACCTAGAAAAATAATAGATTATGGCTGAGGTTAAGTATACAGACCTCTACCAGCCAGTCGATTAGTATTCCTCTCATGTTTGCAGTGACATCGCTCTGCAAGGTCTCCATGTAATTAGCTGATGTCCTCTGGTCAAGCTGACGAATGAAAAATGAAAAGGTTAATGTCATATAATACAGTAATGATCACTAAAAAGTGCATCTCACTGAAGCAAATTATGTACAAGAGTAATTTGCAAATTAGTCGAAGTATTCAAAAGACATCGCTGGTGGGCTGATATTTCAGGGACATAATAGGTGTAGGAGTGCAATATTGACAAACCTACCTCTGTAACAAGCATATGTTTATAGATATCAGAGGCATATTGACTGCAGTCTTGGGGATCTTTTGAGTCGGAATCAATATCCACTATGCCTAGACTAGTGGAGGCCTCTTGTTTCTGATAGCTCATACTCACTCCTGCACAAATACAATTCAAAGGATCATCAGCGAGAGGGCACCAATTCCTAACTTTCTATCCATAATTTCTGCTGATACGAACCACACTCAAAACACTATGCACATTTGTATATATATCATAGAAGAGGAGAAAACTTGTGTAACGAAAAACAGACAGGACTCCTGACCTTTATTTTCACGCTCAGCAGGTCTGGTGGAAGGAAATGCTGGGACGGCAACATTTGCTGCATTGTTCATTACTTGAACAGGAACCCTGCATGGTTGTTTTACATCCAATATTTCCCTCGGAGCAATCCCTTGAACTTCTTCCTTCCTGACCTTTGAGGGTTCCTTCACCACTTTAGTTTTCATATTCTCTTGTTCAACCTTTGGAGCTCCCACAGGAAAGCCAGTAGCCACCTTGGAATTTTTCTTTGACGGACATCTTCTAGTCTGCCTGCTAGCCTATCAAACAGAATAAGTCATTTGAAATTTACTCTGATCATGAGAGAGTCAATCACCATTGCGTCACTCTGATAAACTCTGCAACAAGCACCAAGATAACTAGGGAACTTCCTTACCTGAGTTCTAGATGTATTGGTGCTGTTAGCATCTGAATGCTCAGTTATGATGTTGGTCACTTCTTGAAGCGCGGCCCTCTTCTTACACTGAACACCACCCCTCATTTTGTTCTCTTCTGAAGCTGGTCTCTTTGTGCTTACTTTGGGGACACGCTTCAGCTCCTGTTTGAAGGAAGGTTTCGAGGCCGGGAATGCACCTGCTGAAGCCCCAGAAGCTCTGGCTCGTGCTCGGGTAATCCGGACAGTGGGCTCTTCAACTTTGGCATCATTTCCATTTTCCTTGTTCATGTTTCTTTTCCTTGAGAAGAAGAGCTGAAGCACGAAACTTCAAATTGACACACTGCTCATTGTACCTGCAATGCCAATTGCAATTCAGTCATCACTACAACATCCACGTTGGCCAAAACCTTATATAAGTCCACCTTCTACAAACACAAGCAAATAAGGTGTCTTCTATAAACACCAAATTTAGGTTCATATACATGCTCAGTGTCATTTCTCAACCTACGTTAATGCAACCAATCGATCGATAGATCCATTGCAATCGGAGCTTAGATGTCCACTTCTATTACCACATTCATTGCAATCTAAGCAAATACTCCACGTTAGATAACCAAATTCATCCTTTTTATGTAAAAAATACTTATCAAAACAATTTGAGCAAAATAACCAGCCACCGATTTTGAACATGATGGCTAAGTAACTTCAAAAATCCATAGGACTTCAAAGATTTTAACTTCATTTCAAGTAGTGAAAATGGGTCCCTTTTGCAGTCGCATCCTTGCTCCTGGTGTTGAGCTCAACGCTCTCATTGGTATGCTTGAAGTCATTTTACAAGCAAAGCACAGTTGCTGCAAGAACCGTGAAACAAACCGCCTGTAGCACTTTGTCCCAACAAAACGGTGTAATCTTTACATGTTTTGCTTAGAGGGAAAACGAGATCTGTGGCCTCAGGGTAGATGTAGAAACAAGGACTACAACCCTCCGGTAGAGCGTAAAGAGATCTCGAGAAAACAACAAAAACGAAATGCAATTTTCTCTTTGAGGCATTTTGTCAGTAAGAAAGCAGGCACATTTCTCAGATTTAAAAACCCATAATTTTCCCTTTCAAAATGAATCAAAATTCCAAACTTTGACGCAGGATCTGCTCATCCACGAACACAAATGGAGAAACAACAGACAATTCCTCCCAAAAATGAAACAAAATCCCAAGCTGAAAACTGCGTCAGAAGTCCAGAAACACGCTGAAGAAGAAACACTCTGCAAATCGGAGAGCTCGTCAGAAGGATTAAAATTCCCTCGTACACGAAAACCAGCTCCAAAGAATCCGAAATGCAGAATCGAAATCCAAAATGCAGTAGGTCGAAAACCCAACGCCTCCAAAATTTTCAAAATGCGCCCCTCTCAAGATCAAGAAACTCAACAATGTCAAATGGGGGACCCAAGAAAACCAGCAAGAAAGACCACGGCGGCGGGGGAAAATCGCCTCCGCCGCAGATCTATCTCGTGAAAGGGGGGTCAAAATTCCGCCGTCCCCTCTTAAAGAAATCCACGTGACAGCTATCAATGGTCGATTCAATCAATAACAAGTGCCCAAATCAAACGCCATTAAGCAGCACACATTCCCCGGAAGAGCAAACAGAGAAATAAAATAAAGCGAAAGGGAGAAGAAGTGGAGCTTACTGGGAGCTCCTCCCTCCGCCGGTAATGTTCAGAAATTGTCTCTGCAGGGCTCCGAGGAGGGGAAATGACGAGAAGAGAGAAGAAAAGGGGAATGGAGGGATAGTGGCGGATTATATTACGAAGAAGGTAAAGGAAGGGTGGAGAAGAACAAAAGTGAAGAGAGCGTCTCACTCTCAGCTGCGGAGTGTGTGGGAGAGTGAGACTGTTTGTGAGAGAGCGGGATGGTACCTCCGTTTGAAATCTTCCCCAAAAGCGGAAATGAAAAACTATAAATGAAAAAAAAAAGGCCAAAATAGAGAGATGAAAATTTAAACAGTACTAGTAGTAGTGTGTTTCCATTTTCCAGAAACAGCTTCGCCCAAATAATGTCCTTTTCTGCACAACGACTTGCATTTTGGTCCACCTACACTTTCAGGGGTCAATTTGAATTTTTTTTTTCAATTCTGTATTTCTGTTGCAAATTTTTTTTAAAAATTATGGTTTGGGAAAATGATGGTTTAAATTAAAACGTGTATCATAAAAAGTCCTGAATTTGTGATGAATTTGGATTAGAGAAACTATGTCTCAGATTTGTTCATGGATTTTGTTGTTATGCATTTATAGGGTTTAAATGTAAATTAATGTATCACCTTTAATTTAAAAACTTTTTTAAAATGAGTGGTAAATGGTCTTCGATTTAGGACCATGTTTTAAATATCATATGAAATTTACAAGTTCGTGAGACTTATAAAAAAATGAAAGCAAACAATTAATTCTCTCAGCCTCATGATGGATTGGATTCGATACCCAAATCAACTAAGGAGACGATCCATGTATGCCTATCCCGTTACTTCAAATGCAAGTATTTCAGAAAGTTGACATACTGAAAACCTATACTTCAAATATTTCAAGTTTCATTTTTGAAACTTAATTCATTTAAACTTTATTTCCTACCATAAAAGAATTCGAATGATGGGTTTTCATCTTTATATTTTATTCTATAAATATTATTGCTGCAATTTTTTTTAGGTGTCACGAAAATCTTGTTTTCTTTACCAGATTTACGAGATTCCGATTGCTCGTCTTGCAGTTAAAGCTCTGAGCTTGTTTTCTCTTCTTTTTGTCAGGCCGGTTATCATGGTAATAATGCTTCATGAAATTTACGTTCACGTCACCACGAAATTAAAATTTTGTATTACATTTGAACTCAAGATTAGTAGGTTTATACTCTCCTAACTTGGTGCCCTGTATGGTAATTAATTGTGATCGAATATATGGCATCTAGATCTACCTATATGCATAGAAATTTGGGGAGAGGGATCCTGCAAAGTTAAAAGGGGAAAAATAAAAACAAATACTATGGTACTTTTTTCACCCTTTCAAAAAGAAAGAGTACTTGGTGGTCCATGAGGTAAAAAGGTGGTGACCAATTGCAATAACTTCGAAATTGAGTGGGCAAAAGGATAACTTTCCCCTCCAATTGCCAGTCTGTACTCTGTAGGCATTAGCATTGGTAGCTTTTTAAAGAGGGAGGAGGAATGAGTAAGGCACTTGGCATCGCCACGTGGTGGCGTTTGCCGGATTCTCAAGCTTTTTAGCCTTTACTCCCCAACTCACTGAGTCAACAGTCCTCCACAGCTTCCGATTTACATTTTATTATTATTATTATTATTATTATATTATTGTTGAGGAAGAGAATTAAAAAGGTTTTTATTTGATTTATTTGTGTTTTTTATTTGATCAAAAATAAAAATAAGTTAATAAAATAAGACCTTTGGAACATGATAATTTATTGACTTGGCCTCTCTCTCTCTCTCTCTCTCTCCTTTGAGCATAATAAGCTAAAAGGGCCGGCTATTAGGCTATTAGCATAATCTAGATCTTTGAGGTTAGCTCTCATTTGAATCTTTTCAACTCCAAAAGTTTCAAATTCTCTTTGAATTTTTTCTGGGCATGACACGATACAAAAGTGTACTATGATTAATGAGATGGTTCCGTCGATATTGAAGCACGATCAAAATTATAGTATTATTTTGAGGATATGGTTGTTGGTATTGTCATAAATGTCCTTACTCGCTATTCAATTTGTAGTATTATTTTAAAATAGAATGGAACATATACAATTCTATAGTGCAAATATTTCGAACTGATTCTCTATACAATTTAGGCTTCATTAGCTATTTTATTTTGGCATGTGAGTCATTCTTATTCCCTTTGTTTTTAAAGCTCTACAAAAAACCATAAATGCCCTGATTATATGGAAACTGCCCACCAAATGAACCAGATTTGTTCATAAATATTGGAGAACAGACTTCAGAGATACATGGAGAAGAAAAAATTCTAATTAATCTCGTTACCTTTTTGAACGTGCCGATTAATATTAATAAATTTGCATTATACCTTAAATGGGGAAAATAATTCATCTGAACAAATTGAAGGAAATGCAATTTAGGAGTGTAAAAATAAAAAGGAAATGAAATTTAGGGCAGTCAAAGAAAATCCAAGAAAAATCTGCCGGTAAATACTGGCTGGTTCTACTTGGAAACTTTCAGTTTTCAATGGAAAATCAGTTTGATCGGATTTAGGAACAATGTGAAATTAAAGGAAAGTACATTAATGATTTTATAATGATGAGTGGTTTGCGAAAATATTTCAAATGGGTAGCATTCAGGAAATCATAATTTCATCACGCGTTATTTCCATCGCAATAGAGTAACACGAATGAGATGTCAAATGGACTAAAAATGTTTTTCGGGTTTCTGTAGGTTACAACAACTCATATCATAGAGGAAGTTGCATGCAGATGCAATTCGGATTCAACTTTGGAGTGATTCTTCAATTATGTTGCAATATTTGCATATCTGTCTAATCTAGAATTCATCATCGGCCAGCTCAATTTGCTTTTGACATTTGTGTCTTCTCGTCCCCAAGTGTTGACGAATTCTTTCCGGCCAACTTCAATACCTCCAGTAGTTCATGTGTTTAGAGTTCTGTCGGAACTGAATAGTTTTAGAAAACAAAGTTGTCCATAATTGCAATATGTGCTAACCATTAAGTTGATGTTGTTCAATATATATATAGCTACATAATAAAATTAGTTATTTTCCACTACCATCTCAAATATGCATGCATTATAGCTATGAATAGAAACGTTAAAGAACATATCCATGACAATGATTTGTACACTTTTGTTCGAATAAATAGCTAAATTCATTTTAGTCATTCTATTGAAAAATATATTTCGTGGATACATTGAACTCCATCAAAGTACAACCATTTTCTTTTTATAGTGAAGATTGATTACGTATGTATCATAGGAATCAACTCCTCATATTGTCATTTATGGACTGTTTATATAGGTATCACTTTGTTTGTAAAAATATATGTCACTATTGGCATCATTTATTTGTTCGATATTTTGAATTTCTCGTGTTTTCAATACATCCGAAGCATACTCGAAATCATTTGAGTAGTTTCCCAGATAGCTCATGACCAAAAACCAAACATAACATACATCATTAGTATAAATCACACGTACAAATTATATAAGCATCAAACTCTACCGCCCAGCCTTGTGCTATTTATAGTTGGAAATGAGCCAAGTCAACGAAGCTTTACTCTAGCTTGAACTTGGTTTGTTAACAAACGAGTTGAGCTCGAACTAGACTTGTTTATTAACAAACCGAGCCAAGTTGAATTCGAACTAGCCTTATTTACTAAAATCTTAACTCATATTTGATACATTCATTTTTTATGTTATATATGATACATGTGATTGATATCATGATAAAAGAATAATTATACTCTTATGTTCAACATTAACTAATCTCATATTATACCGTGTTGGTATCATATTATTTAGTTAATAAATTTTAACTAGTTCAAATTATATTGTTTTGTATGATCGAAGCAATTTATGGTACATAATTTCTTTTTAAAATAAAAAATTAGACATATTTTGTTCCATGCTCAACATGTTAAATTCATACAGGGATATATAATTTAAAAATTATATGAATTACCAAAATCCAACTCCTAATATATAGATTGATTTGCTTATAAGTCGATGATCAAGTTGGCTCTCTAACCATAATGTTGAGACATCTCATGAGCTCTAAACGAGACAGCTCACGAGTTGAGCTCAACAAGCGATCGAGTTGAGCAAGCTTGTGAGCTTCATGAGTTGAACAAAGTTTAGCTCAGACTCAACTCGTTAATAAATAAGTCAAATTTCGAACGAATTTTTTCCGATCCGAACGTCGAGCCGCTCATGAGCTCATTTACAACCCTAGTGCTAGATATAATGGCTTTATAGTTTAGATAACTCCTCCATTTATATTAGTAGATACACTAATTGTGAATTCACAACAAACCGATAACATTAAATTAATAATAATTAAATTATGATAAAAATGTAATGTAGAGGATAACCGTTCTGAGTTACTCATTTGCCCTGCAAATGACCCCTTATTCACTCTTCAATTCTAATCGTCCAATTTAAATTTGTTAATTCTCGTTATCCAGTTTTGCAAGTGTGATGTAAGTTTAATAAGGCTAAATTCTAAGTTTGGTCACTAGAATTACTTAACAAGTTCACGTTTTCCATTAAAATTAATTTATTATATCTGTAGTCACTTAAACTAGGTTAGCAGTTAAAGTTTGATCATTGCCCGATAGTATCCGTCAACTTTTGCTGATGTGGCAGTCAACTCTTATAATTGTTCGTTAAATAAGTGACGTGATAATTAAAAATAATAAAATATAATTATTTTATTTTTCTCGCTAATTATTATAAAAGAAAAAAGAAAAATCCTCATTCTTTAATTATTATTTTCCACCATGAATCCTTCCATCGTCGTTATCGTCCGCCGCTAACTTCCTCCATCGTCCTTATCGTCTCCGCAAGTAGATTAATGATTCAAACTTGAGCTCCTAATCAACTCATTAATAAGTTTACAGCAAGCCAAATACGTACGAACGAATGTTTCAGAAGCGGCTCGCTCAGTTCGTGCCAACCAGGACCACCGCCAAAACCATTACCAATCGGCAAGCTCAACGTCTGCTGGTTGGTCACTGTAGCGCTGAGAAGCGTCGTAACTTCCTCAACCAGCTGTTCATGATCGTCGGAGCCTTGGTCCCCCGCCACCGCCCTCTGGAGTGCCGACGATACGGACTTGAGGAAGTCGATGTTGGTGTCGGCCAACTCGAGGCAGTCCTCCCGGGCCCCGATCTGGTCCTTGGCACGACGGGTGGTGAGGAAGTTGCGGAGGAGCTTGGAGAGGCTGGCGACTTGCTTGGTGCATTACTTGACCGGGAATTTGCAGAGGGAGGAGGGGAGGGGAGGAATGTTAAATAGTGGTATAGGATCCAACATAACCTTCTTCCAACAACTCGAGTTATTGGAATCAATTGGTTTATAACATGGTATTGGAGCTGGTTTGACCAAGTGGTCGTATGTTCGAATCTCCACGACCTCAAATATTATCAGTTGATTAAAGCACAATGAATGGTGGCATGTGCAAACTTCAAATCTATGAGTTGACTTTCGTTTGAGAAGGCGTGTTAAATAGTGGTATAGGATCCAACATAACATTCTTCCAACAACTTGAGTTATTGAGACCAACTGGTTTATGACAAGGAAGAGGATCCGAATTTCGAATGCCAGGGCAAGGATGGAGTGGCAGGGCTTTGGGTAGGGTGTGGATTTGCATGCAGCGGTGTGGATGGGCTGTGGCGGCGGTGGGGGTTGAGAGGAGACAGAGGAGATGAGGAGGAGGGAGAAGAAGGATACGAGTACTGGCGGTGGAAAATAATAATTAAAGGAATTAGGATTTTCTTTTTTAAAATTATAATAATTAGCTTGAAAGTAAATAAATAAATTTTATTATTTTATTAATTGTCACGTCACTTATTTAACGGTGAAATATAAGAGTTGACCGCCACATCAACAAAAGTTAACGAAGGTTAACGAGTAGTGACCAAATTTGAACTGTTAACCTAATTTAAATTAGTTCTGGTGGCAACCGTAAACTTATTAAGTAATCTAGTGATCACTTGTAATTTATCCTTTATAATAATTATATAAGAAACAGGATAGTATGAGGTCCACGTCGTCCCCCTACATTTTAAAAGTAGTTGGGCCCATGGATTATAAAGTATATGTCATGACAACTTGGGTTAGCGGGCCCATTGGCCTTCTGGATTTGTTTTTGTTTTTTGTTTTTGAACATGCCTTCTGGATTCTTAAGTAGAGGCACCAGTGAGCCCGAGTGAGGAGCCTAGAATGGCCGGAATCAAGAATCTCATTAGAAAGAAGACAATACGAGAAATGTGTAAAAATCAAGAAAGAAAAGTGAAGAAACAAACGGATAGAAATAAAAGAAAAATTGTTAAGATAATGACAATTAGTGGCAAATCATTGACGCCATTTGTATATTGAAAAGGGAAATTAATTTTGTGACATCCATGAGCATCCCATCGAGGGATTATCGGTCTAGTACAAGCAAACTATTGGTCTAGTAGTAAAACGATAACATGGTGTCCAAAGTATATGTACAAATTATGAAGTTCGTAACTTGTTGATTTTATTTTTCTTTATAAGTAGTGTATATGTATTTTGAGTAGAGAAAAATCATTCACATAATACCCGTTATCCTATTTGTATTTGATTTGAAAACAAAAGGAGTTGTTATTGAAAGAACAAAAATTAACAATTATAAAATGTCAAACTAAGACGTTAGCTATTTCATATTTGTTAAAACATGTATATGTCAAAATACGGGATCAGACTGGCGTACGTTAGGCGTATACTATACGTCAGGTACTACTAGTGAGATATCTCTATCTAGACCATGAATTAAATCGAGTTTGGGGTATGATACTATACTCTAACCTCTAATTGATAAACCCCAGGCACCGATTTTCTAAACCCCAACCCGAAGTTTGATTTAATGAAAAATAAAAAGTGACTGTTGAGATCGGTTATTGGAGCTCATCTAAGTACATCTAACGGTTACCTACCTGGCGTACACCAGTCATTACCGTCAAAATACATCATTTTTCATACCAATTGTGTCTAAACATTGCTTTCGGGAGCATCCTAAATCCTAATCATTGAACCAATTATCCTGAGGAAAGGAAGGAAGAAATGGCTTGGAAATTTTCCTCTTTTTAGCCTTTACTCTTTGGATATATTTTCTCTCAATGGGTTTGGCCTGAGTTTGGAAGCAAGCATCTTCTCTTAGATAGATTTTGTGCAAAGAAAGTTAGCAAAAAGAACACAAAATTCAAATTCTTTGGTTCCATGATAGAGAGATTCCAAAAAGAGCAGCATTTGAAAAATTGACGGGGGAGACTAAACCAGTTGACATGCAATGCAATGCAACATAACTTAATAGAAAAATTGTTGGTTTCTTACGTACGTGATGGGTACGTAATGCATCTATTCGAATGACCATGACATTGCCATGCTAGTTTGAATTTGTAAGTGTAATATGAAAAGATAAAACATGCAGGGGTGATTTGGGTTCAAATCTGCTTATCAATTTAGGAGGGTGTGTTTGAATATGTGTATTTCAAATGTAAGGTATTTGAAATACAAATATTTAAAGAGATGTGCGATAACTAAAGATTCATTGAGTTGTAGGAAACACTTACTTTTTGGTAGTGTCCGAACCCTTGTGGCTCTGGAGGGTGGATTCACCCTTTTGGATCATGTCTTCACTACTTGGTGGATATTATGGGGCTTTGGTGTTTGATTTTGCACTGAAATGCGCCTATTTCATTGCAAACTTCGTTTTATTTAATACAACTTTGATTCATATATGGTTGTTGGCTTCTCAAACCCATCATTTCAACTATTTAAACAAAATCGAAATAACCAAACCATCTAAACTAACTGCAAAAACTTCCATGGTTGATCAAATTTGGCTATCACAAGTTAGTCAGGCTTCAATTTCAGAGCTTATATGACTGGAAATACATTCTATTAGGAAGATCGACTCACAACATTGAAAATTCGAAGTTGAGAAAATGAATAAACTTACAAGAAATAATCATCTGATAGTTTATAGTTCGCGACTATCCATTTATTTAAATCTTGGTGTGTGTCTATGGAAACAAATATGCACTACACTGCAGATAACAACGATAAGATAGGGGAGGGCCACATGCTCAAATTTGAAATCTTAGGGCTGCTCAGTGCTCTCCTCTCCTGTGTTATTTGTTATTTCTTCTGCGAGGGGTTTTGGGGTTAAGAGTTTTAGGACACCGACCGATCAACAATTAGTCAAATTAGTGTTCAGAAGAGGGACAGTTTGACCACTGACACTGTCAGGTATGGGATTGGCCTATATATGAATTAATGAATATGAACGGTTTTTGAACTTAAGGACACACACGCTCTCTCCATCTCTTCTTTCTTCCCCACCTCCGTTGGAAATATTATAGGGCTTTGGAACATTTTATTATATTACTCCTTCCATCCGGTAAATAAAAATACCAGACCCGACCCGACCCAAAAGCCTGTCTGAGTATCCTCTGAAACTCATATCCATAGTAGATGGATACTTACTATCGTCATGGGCTTACTCTAGTTTCCACCCCTCTTCGCTACCCGAGCTGATCGAGCCCAATAGAGATTTGGCTATCAAAATACCTAATGGCCACCAGGCCCAAATCTAAACTATCTTCTGCTCAACTGTCTCCAAGGTGATAAAATGCAGAACATGCCCATTCTTGACCAAGAGAATGGCTGTATTAATGGTTTAACCCTATCTTGCTGCACTGTACAGGGAATTAACTGAATCAAGAGGACGTCTCAATTTGTTCCAATCCTTTCAAGTTGGTGATTCAAGGGTATGATTGGGTATTTGGGTTCTTCCTCTCCTTTGACTTCGATAATGTTTTCGGTCCCATTCAGTTATTCAAGGTGGTCGGATTAATACATGGAATTTCCAGTTCAACTCATTCAGGGAGTCAGTTTATATGCAGAGGACAACTGGATTGGAGTTCTCATTCTGGCATTTCGTCGAACACCAGAGCTTCCAACTTTTCCAAACAACCAAAACCCGTTATTTTGGTTCATCAAATTAAACAGTCACTTAGCCATTTTCAGCACAAACAAGGATCTTCCCAATCTCAACAAGTAAATTACAAACAAAGAGCCGGCCGCCCGATTGATTCGATTTAAAATGTGGGGGCAAAAGACGGCCGCTCAAACTGCAATGGACTAGGGCAGCAGAGCGGCAATGGAAGCCTCCGTCTTTACTGTGAGCTCATCACACTAACGTGCGCCACAATTGAAACCTTTTCTCGTGGAATACCACGCCACCCCTGACTCAAGAGGTAAAGCGCTCGGCCTGAACCTCTGCTTGCTTCTCTTCCTCCCCTTGCCTCAGGTTTTATACTGTTGATCCACTAGGGTTTGACTGTTTCACGTTGACCCTATACGACGTCATTTTTCGACTACCCTTTTTCCCCAATCCACTTTGAAGGCTGCCGGTGAAACGACCGGCGGAAAGAGAGTGCATTTCTCGACTCTCGTCGAAATTTTTATCTTGAAAATACTGGAAGGAATGGGAAGAGTTCGTTTCAATCTCCACGCTGTGAAGCTACTTATCGGCCGTCGACAGGTCCACGGATCGCCGCTTTCCGGTTCAGATGTCAAGTTGCGGCGGCCGCAACCTGCTTTACCAAAGTCATTACCGATTCCCGACCTTCATAATCCGTATTTGAATCAAAGCGCTAATCCTCCTCAAGCTAAGTACTCGCAGCAGGAGTTCGCGACCCTCTGTTGTCTTCTGAGAGATTCCAATCTCTCTCCCGGTTCTTCCCTCCAGAATGCTTTGGACCAAACGGGAATCGAGCCGCAGCAGCCTGGTCTGTTAGAGGCGGTCTTTGAGAAATTCGATTCGTCTCCGAAATTGCTCTACTCAGTGTTTCAATGGGCCGAGACGAGACCAGGGTTTCGGTGCTCGGAGGTGCTCTTCAACTCGATGATCAACGCACTTGGGAAAGCGAAGGAATTCGACTCTGCATGGTCTCTGGTTCTAGATAGGATTGATGGAGATAAAGATCTTCAGTTGGTTTCCAGTGATACATTTGCCATTCTCATCAGAAGGTTTGCTCGTGCAGGTAGGTGTTACTTTAGACTATTCAGTTTTTTGCTTACAAGTTCTGCAGTTGCTTTTAGTATGCCCGAATTGCAATCCAAAGTTCAAAACTTTAGTGCCTCAATCTTTGTCTCATTGATTGTTAGTATGGACACTGATCAAGTTTGAAGTAGAGTTGGTGCCTTGAAAATGCAGGATTTGGGGGCTTCCATTGTTTGTAAGCTGTGCTTTATATTGGTATATATATGATCATGAAGCAGTAACTGGCATACCTCCTTTGCTGCAGGATTACCTGAAGCCGCAATCAGGACATATGAGTATGCAAGAAATCTGGACTTGGTTGAGAAGCCAGATGCTGGAATGCGCTTTCTTGAGGTTTTGTTAGATTCTCTTTGTAAGGAAGGGCATGTTCGGGTGGCTGCAGAGTATTTCCAGCGTAAAAAGAAGATGGAACCTTGCTGGGTTCCCGCAATTCGTGTATATACTATACTTTTGAACGGGTGGTTTCGGTCAAGGAAGCTCAAACATGCAGAGAGACTTTGGTTTGAGATGGAGAGGGATGGTGTGAAACCGACTGTTGTGACCTACGGTACCCTTGTAGGAGGGTACTGCAGAATGCGTCGTGTTGAGATTGCACTTGATTTGGTGGATGAAATGAGAAGAAAAGAAATCAAGCCCAATGCTATCATCTACAATACAATTATTGATGCACTAGCAGAAGCCGGCAGGTTTAATGAGGTTTCTGGGATGATGGAGCACTTGTTACTATGTGAATCAGGCCCTACTCTCTCCACATATAATTCTTTGGTTAAGGGGTACTGCAAAGCTGGAGATCTTGTGGCCGCTAGCAAGATCCTTAGAACGATGATCGACAGAGGATTCATTCCAACTTCTACCACATATAACTATTTCTTCAGGCATTTTTCAAAGTTCCGGAAAGTTGAGGAGGCAATGAATTTATATACCAAGATGATTGATTCTGGATATTCCCCTGACCATCTCACTTACAATCTCTTGTTGAAGTTATTGTGCGAGGACGAACGGCTAGACTTAGCTGGTCGGATTAGCAAGGAAATGGAAGTGAGAGGATGCGATATGGACTTGGCGACTAGCACAATGTTGACTCATCTACTGTGCAAGATGCACAGATTTGAAGAGGCAATTGCAGAGTTTGAGAAGATGTTGAGGAAGGGTCTAGTCCCTCAGTTCCTTACTTTCAAACGATTGCATAACGAGTTAAGCAAGCGAGGGATGAATAAGATGGCTCAGAAACTAAGGACCATGATGTCGTCTGTCCCTCATTCCACAGAATTACCCAATACCTACGATGGCGATGGAGATTCATCGCGATACGCAAGGAGGAAATCTATTTTGCACAAGGCTGAAGCTATGTCTGAGATTCTGAAGACGTGCAACGACCCAAGGGAGCTTGTTAAGGGTAGAGGTCCTTCTCCGCATCCTCTATCGAGTGCTCATCAGTTGACGATGGATATCAAACGGAGAGCAAACTGATATGAGAAATAATTCAAGTATTAGAGGGCCAATTCTCTCTTCTGCACTTGTTATACGCTGGCCTAAGTGTCATATATGCATGAATTAGAGCTCAAAGGCCAAAGAAGTTGGCCGAGACTCGAGAAGAGGGTAACTGACGTTGCGTTTGGGACACAGAAGAAATGGTTTCTTAATTGAGTTTTGAAGAAAGGTTTTGGCCATGGGGCCAAGTTCAGCGTATACCCATTTGTTAATTTCCATGGAGCTTGGCGCAAGACATGGTCCACAAAAGAGAACATTTTGAAGGGTGCAAGACACACCAACCGTATGAGAGTGTTAAAAATTCTTGCTTCAACTCCAGATTGCGATGGCTGGAAGGGGTCCCCAACTGCTGCTGGTAATCACCTCAATCGATTCCTTTTGAATTATTGGCATAATAATAAAAGAAAGTAAGCTTATTTGCTTTGTCGATTGCTATTCAGACACACAAGTGATGATGGTTTTCTTTTGTCATGCTCGATTATTAATAATCAGACTAGTCGGCTGCAAAGAAGAAGAATTGCAGAGGGGATCGGATAATGGGGGAGATTTTAGGGCTATGGTTTTGGTTGGTGGAATGTGACCTAGCTGGGTGGAAGATTTGTGTGATCAAAACAAAACCAAATGTTGGAAGGGAAATGGCGCCCCCCTGCATAAAGTTGAGCACTTGAGATAGTGCATATTGGCTGAAGAATAATGTTTGCTGGCGTGTGAATATTTGTGGATTCTCCATTTCCATGTTGCTCTCTGTCTCTCTCTCTCTGGTTTAAAGTGGCAACTTAGACTAGGGTGATGATGAAATGATTAGATGTGAAAAAACCAAATGTAAAGGTTGTGTAATACATTCAAGCTTGAACTTTTGGGTGCATATTAACTGTTATAATGTGCCAACCTCCTTTTGCCATACGCCAGTCTAGGTCCTTGTAAATTCTCTTTCTCTCAATGTAAGGACTAAGAAGTCTTATGTATGGATTGTTTGAGTAACGAAATTTGTCTTCTAAATATAGAGTATTTGTCCCACTTATGATGGTCGTACAACTCAGTTCGATATAGTGTGTAGTGTTTTCGGAGAAGACGTGGTAATGTCATCTGATGTAGCGTGCTCAAACATGAAAGCAAAACAGGCCTTTCTTTATAAAAATGGTATAACATTTGCTTTGTTGACTACTAATTTTGAAGTTATATTTTTGGATGAAGATAAATAGTCCATTTCTGTATATATAAGAGCGGAAGCAGTATATTATAACATTTTGGAGTCTTGATAATTTGTAAACTTGATAAATGTCACCTTATACATGTCACATTCATAATCAATGTAGACATTCTCTATGTTAACTAAATAGGAGGCACGTTATTTACCCATGAATATGAGTATAACCATCTCTAATTCGACATATGCACAACATAATCTTACTAAACAAAATTCACCATAAATTCGAAATATCATTAGATAATTCATGTTTTACTTGTGTACTATTCCTTTTTCCCCCAAAGAAATTAAGTAATATTTTCATTTGAACTATAAAGTATACTCAATCATAACATGCCACTTATTAGTTTACCAATAGTTCGTGGATCAAAATTTGGCTTTTACAGAGCATGGTGGGAGATCTCTTTTCTCCTTCATCATATTGAGTAGTTGGGTTGGATGTTCAAAACAGAAAAGGTTGAGAGAAAAAGGTGTTGGCATTATTGGAACCCTGCGGCCCAAAAACCTCTCCAGCCTCCCCCCTCGTGTTTCTCCCCCACTACTACCACTCCCCACAAAAACAGATAAAAGAACATTTATACGCTCCAATATCCAGAACTGAAATATAACATTTCCAGAGACAGACAGAAAAACAGAGAGCAATGGAGATTGGAGAGAGAAAGTGGGCATTGAAAAATTGATTTGAAGAATCACAATAATTCCATAACAACACACAACTCACATCTACTTAATTCATTCTACTCTCAGAGAGGAGAAAAAGTTTGAAGCTTTTGCTTTTTAATGCCCTCTCCCTCTCTCGGTTCGAAAAGACTCTTGCTGCTTGCTTGCTTTCTCACTTTGCTGTGCTCCATAGCTCGATATTCTCTCTTTCTCTATCTAGCTTAGCTTTGGCTTTTTGTTTTCCTGAAAATCGCGCCCCCTTTCTTCTCCCTCTCTATACTAAGGAGGAAAAAGGGAGGAAGAGGGAGTAATGGGTATTTTTAAGATTGTGAAGTACGAGATGATAGCGGCGGGGACGGTAGTTGTGGCGGTGGCGGAGAAGAATCAGCGGCTGGACTGACGCCCGGAGTGAAGATGCTACGGTGATAATGGCTCACCAGCAGCAGCAGCAGAGTAGAGATGGCAGCAATGCCAATTTTTCGCATGGCATTTCTATGAGTACCCAACAACAGCAGCAGCAGCAGCAGAAGGAAGCGAAGGTTGGGGCAATGTTTCATGATTTTCTGGGTATGAAGCCAGGCAGTAGTAGTATTAGTAATAATAACAATGATAGCAACAGCAAAAACAACAACGAAGCCTCTGCAATTTTGGCCTCTTCAAGAAACCCTGATGCCTCTCCTTCTGCTTCTCAATCTCTTGGGGCTTCCTCTGCCGGCGCCGGCGTTTCTATTCCTGGTGGCCGCGGTGGCGGAGGGCTCCTTTCCACCGCCTCTGATCTCGCCAGTGGTAAGTTGTTGCATCTCTCTACTTGGGTTTCTCATTTTTGCGCAGAAAATTCATTACTTGACATTTCTTGGTTGGTTTTGATCCGATTTTGATGTTAAAAGTGGGAACCTTTTAGCTTTACCCCGTTTTTGCTTTGATTGATAGTGAAATGAGAATGCAGGATTCGTCGGAAAACCAGAAACCAGAAACAAACCTTGTGTGCTAGAGAATGGAGTTGGTTTATTTCTTATCCATTAGTTTAAATTCATAAATTGAGTGAAGTAATGGAGTTGGCAGCTAACTTTTGGAATCATTCCCTCTACTGCATTGTCTTGCATTGTTTCATTATTCTATTCTAGTGACGTTTCAGTGTTGATTAGCTAACAACTGGTTTTTTGGCACTTCTCATTTGGTTATGGAGTGTTGGTTCGGTTAAGCTCTCTTGTCTTGCTTGGTGTTTGCAGCTCCCTTCGGTCAGCATTGGTTTTACCGTTCTGAGTCTTACCCCATTGTGCCTTTTGTGATGTATTATTTTTGTAAATTACTATGCACCCCTTTCTCTCCCCATGGTGAGACGCTTGTATCCATGGCGGGGTGGTAGGTATTCGTGAATCTTAGTTGGTCTTTCCATGGTTGCGTAATGTGTTCATGTTTAAAACCTTTGTTACTGATTGGAGGTCTTGTTGGTGCTCCTTTTTAGAAAGACAGGTTCCAAGTCATCTAGAAGGAATCCCATATTATGTGCCAAGAAGTGATCATTCTGTAGCAGGAAGTAAAAGAAGCAACTCGGATTCTACCTTTACTGCTAGGGACGGAGTCCCACAAATCATCGGCCATGACTCTGAAAGCCTGCATTTGATGAAGGTGAGCTTCAGGATGTCCACCAATCTTTGTTCATCCTGTCAACATCCAACTATAAATGATCCTTCATATTTTTACCCTTTCCAAATGCAGATGCTGAGGAAGGCAGGTCCAGGAGAGATACCTAAACGATCAGCAGATGATGATCAGGGCTTGTTTCATGTGCAGTCAACAAAGCCTAGTTCTGCCTCACTTATATTGCAACCTTCTACTCCTGGAGGTAGACTTGATCCTAACAAGTGGGAAAGATCTGCGGTGCAATATCCTCCTCGTGGGAGTCATTATGTTCCTTTTACCCACCAACTCAATGCAAGCAGATTGGGAGGGGAAGCCACTGCTGCTGGTCCATCAAGTATCTCTCAGGCGGCAGCTGCAGACGAAGGATCCAGAACTGGCATCAAAGGCTCTGGACTTTTAAGCTCCATTAATGCTGGCTCTGGTAATTCAGAAAGAAATTATACTGGTGTCAAGGCAAGTGGTAGCAAACCCAGGCCTGGTATTCACATTTTAGAAGCAGAAGCTTCAACTCCTTCAAGGTGGTGTTGCTAATATGCCGTAGTGCTTACCTTTGATGTTTCATATTCTCAAAATGCTTTGTACTGCTTAAAGGCATTTATTGTGTTTCTTTACCTTTTCAGTCGCCAAGATCTAGCATCTGCAAGTCGGCAAATGACCATATTCTATGGTGGTCAAGCACACGTATTTGACGATGTCCACCCCAACAAGGTTTGTCTTCTATCCATTTACAGCTCCAGTGGAGACATCTGCCCCCTGATGGGGTATGCATTTCTATCTGCAACCTTTGGTAACCAAAAGCTGATTATGTCTGATGAACCTTCATGGTAATGCAAGTTAACCACTTTGCTTGAAAATTAAACCTGATCAAGCAACTTGTTTTGATAATTTGGTAGTGCACTACAAATCTGAGCCTTGGGATCTTAACATTGCACTTGAATTTGTGTGGCTGACAAGTAAAATGTTTTGCACTGAAACTTGTATGGCTGACATGTCAAATGTTTGTGACGAACAACTGTTGCTCTTTTCTGGATGATCTTAGATCCTCTTGGTTGAAAGAGAAGCAAGTGACTGCCCGTGGTTTAATTGCAGAGTGTGAACTACTGATGCTTCTATAGCTAGTTTATGTTGCAGGGAAAATAATTTTCATGCTATTGAGTTCACTGAGAGCAAGCTTGTGTTTTTTCACTTTTGCCTTTCCACTGGCTTGGACTAAGAGTTCCAAGTTGCCTGTTTGTAACATTTCACCAAGTATGGGATAATGTTACTCGTTCTTCTCTTTCCCTGCCCTCTCCCCTTTGCCTCGGCAGTATTCCTTTCAGACATTGGCTCTTCTGCAATCCTTAAAGGTGTATGCCTATTTGGACCCTTCATTGCTTGCTCCAACCTGATTCATCTGCTACATATGCATGGATGTGTCTGTCAAATCAAAATAGTATAGACACTAAAACGCCAAGAACAATATAATAAACTCCCTCCTTCAAGTCACTGAATTAGAAGCTTCCTGCCCAAGTTTCTAACTCCTTAGGATCATTTGAGCCAAGGTACCCTGACGTGATCATTGATTGCTACTGCTGGCTCATGTTTTTCTTCAGGCCGATGTTATAATGGCGTTGGCTGGATCAAACGGGATGTCATGGTCCACAATTAACACGCCAAAGGCTGCCCTTACTACAAGACCAACTGGTGGTGGGGAAACTTCCATGGGGAGCGGTGGAGAGTACGACGCAGGTAATGCAGGAATCAATGCCGCGCTGTTGGAGCGTGAGCTTCGAAGAAGGCTGCCAGTTGCCAATAGTTCCATACCTACAGGGGTACCCTCCAGCGACCGGATGATAATACGACCAACTGGTGAGGATTGGAAATACACGACTTCCCCACTGACAAATGCATTTCTTGACCTTGATTCATTAACTAATAAGAAATGGATATGTTGCATTGTGTAATGGATTTGTTAAGGTGGTCATCATCATGGTGGTGGCAGCAGCATTGTGTTAGGAGGTGGTAGAGAGACGAGAAACCAAGACCGGAATGTACAAGGAAGTGCAGAAGAAAGAAGGGATGTTTGATGTTTCTTTGAATTGTTTAGAAGAATCTTGTTGTTGTTGTTGTTGTTGAAGAAGGGTTGTGAAGTATGGTTGATTGGTAGAGAGTAAAATGAATTCTCATCCCGTTTAATGTGAGAAAAAATGGCCTTGTTTTTCACTCTTATACAGATAGCAAGCACTTCCAACATGCTTGATCTTTCTTCCCTTTGTTGTCTTCCTTTCTTTTATGAAGGCCAGAATATAATAAACTGAATGGCAGGAAACAAAAAGGAACTGTTTATTCACAGAGAAAGGAAAGAAAGACAGAAGGGTCCATAAAGAGCGAGCTTATGACTCCCAAAGAAGCAGGAGAAAGCAATAAAAACAAGGGGTAAAAAACACTACGCAGCTGCAGCAAACCAAAAACAAAAAGGGAGGCCAGCAAAGCAAAGCCTATATAGAAGAGTAACAGCAGCAGAAAAAACAAGCACAACTGCCAAAGAAATGCTGGAAGTAGAAAGTAGAAAACATTCAACCTGCAACAACAACAACAAAAAAACAGCATGTTTAAAGATCTGAGCAAACCAAGCAGATGGCGAAGCAGATGGATATTAAAGCATGGGCTCACGCCTCATTGATCCAAACGTTTCGGCTGATTGCTGAGACCAGTATTACTCTGTAGGCCCAGCAAAGATTTCTTTGGTTGAACAATTTTGAGCCGAGCTGGAAAGCTGACCTGGTCGGCCTCACGTCCGTCTGATGATTTCGTGAGCCACCATGGACTGTGGTTACCATAACCACAACTTGTTGCACAACCCTATCAACTAGCTACGGCCTATGTGCTCTAATTATTATTTATTTTAACAAAAGATAATTATATAGATTGAAAGAACAGATCATTACATCCTAGAATTTAATCCGGTAAAAAAAAAAAAAAACAAGTAGCCGAGTACAGAAAAATTACCTTTCTAGCACCAAATGGGCTACCTTATTACTACCCTAACCTACAAATCGTACATTAAAACCAGCGTGATCATTCAAACATCGGGTATCAATATCCTAGCATCAGTATGAAAATTTTGAATATCTAATAGTGTCTAAAACTCATTCTCATTTTCACTCCCAACCCCAAAATAAGTTTGGTATCCAAATTCCACTCCCGAAATTTTTTGTTCGGTATCGATATATACCAAATTAATTTCCTTCAAAATTACAAATCAAATATACAAAGTACTAACTCCACAAAACATTCTCAAAATATATAAAAACAAACAACGGTGTGGTTCTAAAACTCGTGCAAAACAAACGGGGAAAAATCTCAAGTATAATAACGACACATTAGAAAAATGTGGTGCCTAAAAAACACATTAATAAACTAAAGCAACAAACTGAAACATGAGATGACTAAGCAACCCATAAACATGCTACAAGTAACAAAATGGGTTTGGTATGAGTTGCCAAATAGCGAGGGAATGAGCTATGTATAATTAAGAGACCATCTTGGTGGTTGAGGGTCTGGTAGTAATGAGTGAAGAAGTCTAGTTGGGAGGGATAAAATACGCACTAGCTTATATTTTGGTATTGATGGATATTTAAGTATATACTAATCACAATCTCATAATCTCTATTATCAAATAATACTTGACATTCAACCTCAATCCAAATCCCAAGAAATAATACATGTATTTGATAATACTAAATATCAACAAATTCGATATGATATTCGCTTATCTATAGGTACCAAAGTTTAAGTCCTAGTGACCCTGATAGGGATTGTAAAAATTGTAAAGGAAAATCAAGTTTGGGTAATCATTAATCAAATTTTTGGGTAAACTCATACTCAATTTTTTAGTTTAGGTTTAAATTGGACCTATAGTATTGGAAGTACAAAACAAAATGAGTATCCGATTATAATGCAATTTTTATTTTTTTTTTGTTATGAAAAAGATAGAAAGGTGAAAACACTTACATTAAAAGTGTATAATTGGGTTGAAGGTAGTTAATGAAATAATTGACATTATTTTTTGTGCATACATTTATATAGACCCGATCAGAACTATTTGGATCTAATTTAAATGAATTGACTCAAATAGAACTCAATTCATACCCAACTCAAACTCTAAACCATTAAAAATACATGCATATGACTTCATTTGAATCCGATTCAATAACCATAATGATAATCCGACTCTAAACCATTAATTCCCTAGTCTTTCCAGATGTTACAATTTCTTAAATTTAATTACTTCCTCATTGTGAAGCTTTCAGTTGGACCCACCATCTTGGTTATTATGCAAATGCCAAAATTTATGACAGCAAAAGAGTAATCAGTCTTTGACATTGATTGTATTATATTAAGACATCAAGAAAATATCAAACACAAGGAGTTGCAGAAATACTATAGTATATTGCAGAGGAGGGAGGGATAGAGACAAAACACATAATTATAACAAGAAATTCCTTAAAAACTGCTGTTACAAGATAGTTTGTGACAGAACAATTTTAGATGTTATATATGTAACTATTCTCGACTGTTTTTTGTTTTCTCTAATTTCTGATCCCCAACTAGCTAACAGGGCGGCTAATTTGTACCTTGATTAGCTCTTCCTAACCACAATTATCTATTCATTAAGGACATATAATTAGTCTGGTCTGTCGCTTCAGACATCTAGAGACTGATTAGCCAACTTCCATCCACTAATATATATATAATTACACTTCCTACCTTACCGTACTATTTCATCAATCAATTAATTTCAGTTGCTCGGGTCGTTGAGGTGGTCTAAGGATAAATATTGATATTAATTATTTGTCATTCTTGATTATATCAAGAAATTCAAGATTGAATCTTATATTATTCATTCAGGCATCCTTCAAATCAAAATCTTATATGAGCTTGAAAGTTGAGCTGATCATAGCTTTGTGCATCAATTAAGAGTATTAGTGTTGAAGGTTGGATATATCATGTATGTGCGCATAACCCCTACTATGGTAAAGACATATATGTAGAATTATTGTAGAAAATAAGTCATGCATATAATATTTTGCCTTAATATTGGAAGTTAATTATTAGAATTGTACACACATGCAGGACATTTCAACCAAAAATCTCGATATCATAGTAAAATAAAAATCAATTGATATAGATAACTCGAGTTGTTATATGATAAATTCAATACTGAATACGGCAGCGTTAACATATCATCTCGCCTATTTTGTACACTACAATAAAATTTCAATATTAAATTTTTTCCAAAACTATAAAAAGAGAGCGTTTATTAAAAATTTAGTGGTACTTTAGAAACAATCGATCATAATAACTCGAGTTATTCGAGAGAATAAATATTAAAATCACCCCCTATTCATCGTAACCATATATAATAAACCCTAGCTAACCATCACCAATTATACATCAATTCCTCTCTCATTCAAACGTTTTATCAATATCACTATGATCACAACCGCACTCTCCGAGGCCTTCGGCCAATACACCCTCAAACCCCACCAAATAATCCCTCTCGACTTCCACTCCGTCGACACCTTGCCGGAAACCCACGTCTGGCTGCCGCCGCCGGGCTTCGAGGTCGAGAATAACGATGCCGGAGACGGGCAGCTGGTCTTCCCGGTTCCGGTCATCGACTTTTCGGACCCCGACGAGGCTGCAGCAGGGAAGCTAATGGTGGAGGCTTGTGAGACGTGGGGCGTGTTCCAGCTGGTCAACCACGGGATTCCCTTGGAGATTTTGGCCGCCGTTGAGGCGCAGACCAAACGGCTTTTTGCGCTTCCGGCGAGCCGGAAGCTGGAGGCGCTGAGGTCTCCGAACGGGGTCAACGGGTACGGGCAGGCTAGGTTTGCGTCGCTGTTCGATAAGAATATGTGGAACGAAGGGTTCACCGTCATGGGGTCGCCGGCCGACCACGCTCGAAAGCTCTGGCCCGATGATTTCCAAGGGTTTTGGTGAGATTGATATTTATCATCCTTAATTAATTATTTCTTGAACTATAAAACTCGGATGTTTGAATTTGTTTATGTGCTTCAATCGTTTCCTAAAATTGTCGATTAGATTTGATTTTGGTAGGATGTTTTTTTATTCGACTCATCTATATGTACGGTATAGATGTATAGTTACACAAATACTGATAATTTTGGGTAAAAAAGGTTAACGAGCTTCAAAAAATTGTTTTATTTACGTAAACTAATAATTTTAGTTGCACTTAATAGAGATGGTATACATATTATGTGAACTTGTAGAAAGAAGTATCATATAGAACATTATAAACTTAAGGACTTTGCTTCGTTGACATGCATGTCACGGTGACATGCACTTTTCGGTCGACCTCATATGGGATTAGGTCGACCTAATCTGTTGTTTCATGTAAAAACAGTTTCATGGTGTCTACTTTGGAGATTCATATCTTACAATTGGCTAAATAAAAATTGGATATTAAAGGCTTGTTTTGAAGCTGAAGTGTCCCTCTACACATTAAAGTACTTGGGAGCTCAATAGAAAGTCCAGAAGACCATTTTTGAACCTGACCAAAAGGCTATGCCAAAACTGGGAAACGTGTTTGTCAAGCCTACTTTGGAGCTCAATTTGAGAAGCATGGATGTGAGTCAAGTCCAGAGGCCTCTACCACGTTAAATTACGTATTTTTTTATACAAAGGCAAGGCATTGGATGAAAGATTGAATATCTTTAAGACTTCAAACAAAAGGCTCGAAGTTGCTACGAATGCTGTTTTTTTGGCAGCTTGCTTCTGCTCGAAGTCTGCCAGAAAAACAGCATTTGTAGCAACTTCGACCCTTTTGTTTGAAGTCTTACGTATATCCAATCTTTCATCTAATGCCTTGAATTTGTATAAAAACACACCTAATTTAACGTGGTAGAGACTCCTGGACTCGACTCGCATTCATGCATCTCGAATTGAGCTCCAAAATAGGCTTCACAAACACGTTTCCAGACTTAGCCATTTCCATGCAGTTTCCCAGTTTTGGCATAGCCTTTTGATGAGGTTCAAAAGTGGTCTTCTGGACTTCCTATCGAGCTCTCAATCACTTCAATATGTCGAGGGACACTCCAGCTTCAAAACAAGTCATTAGTTTTCAATTTTCATCTAGCCAATTGTATGATATGAATATCCAAAGTAGGCACCATAAACTGTTTTTACACTGAAACAACATATTAGGTCGACCGAATCCTAAATGAGGTCGACCAGATGCTATATGAGGTCGACCGAATTCTAAATGAGGTCGACCTAATCATAATTGAGGTCGACCGGAAAGTGCAAGTCACCGTGACATGCATGTCACCGTAGGCACACCCTAAACTTAAATCAACACATTGAATATCTTGGGATTAAATTTTGTTTGTAAATGTTTTTCTTCTTATTATTATGTATAGGGTTAGGGTATATATAATAGTCTAAATGATCATCAAGAGCAGGCTGAGATACTATAATACATATATATAAATGGGAAACTATATTTTATATGGTAAAACAAACTAAAAAAACACTTTTCAATTTGGCTAATGTCATCATCATATAATAGACACATATGTCGATCATAAATTACCAAAACTCGTTTGTCCCGAATATGTTAAATTAATCATATGCATAGTTGAAAACTAAATGTGTCATTTTTAGACACCATTAGAGATAACGACGACCCACTTCTAGTTGCTTTGTTTTGTTATTGTATATATGAGCCGCCGATGGAGCACCATGCATGTAACTTTATTTCAAGATTGATTCCATTTTCACCATATTATAATTAGCTTAAGGCATGTATATTAATTATTATTATACAATTTGAGTGTTGGAGGTATGCAATACATCATACTGATTTATAAATAGTCTACAAAACGTTTATAAGTTTTAATAAATATGAGTTACTAAATTTACAAATGATAATGACGCATACAACATCAAAATCAAAGGTCAACTATAGACATGACCTTCTAGCTTCTAACCACGGTTTATAAAATCGTACGTAATAAGTTGGTGACATTATATTTTAGTTTGTACCAATTGCGGTTTACCTAATAATTTTATCAGTGTAATATAAAAATCATTAAAATAAAATGATGTTGTGTATTCAACTAGCATATACCAGTACAATACTGTCAAAATTGATCAGTATATATTATCGAAAATTTGCAAATTAATTGTGTAAAACCAATTGATACGAAACTAATATTATTATGGTAGTACCACTAAATCAAACTATTTCTTGCTAGCAGCTTTTAATCTTCTTTCTTGCATTTTTTTTTCTTCATCCTCGTTTGCTCATAGTTTTCATGCATTATCTTGTCACCATGTGAAGAAACTGAACGTATCGTTTTTCGTCGACCCAAAAAAACAGCGACGTCATCGACGACTACCAAAACCGCACGAGAGAGCTGGCCGCCAGACTCCTCGGCCTAATCCTCCGGTCAGCCAACACCCCGGAGCAAGAAATCCGGCGGATCTCGTCTCCATCCGCCACCATGACGACACTCCAGCTCAACTCGTACCCGCGGTGCCCCGACCCGACCCGAGCCATGGGCATGGCTCCGCACACCGACACTTCCTTCCTCACCCTCTTATACCAAGGCGGGGTGAAGGGGCTCCAGATTTTCAGCGACCGCGCCGGCGGCGGAGGCGGAGGGTGGGGCATGGTGGATCCGGTCGACGGAGCCATCACGGTGAACGTCGGCGATCTGCTTCATGTGGTTTCCAACGCCAGGTTTCACACGGCTCGGCACCGGGTGGTGCTGAGGGAGGCCAGGCAGAGGGTGTCGGTGGGGCTCTTCTTTGTCCCCACGCCGGACTGTGTCCTGTCGCCGTTGGCGTGCGGCGGCGGCGGCGGGGAAGGGGAAGTTTGTCGGTACCGGGCGGTGTCTGTGAAGGAGTATATAGGGCTGAAGTATAAGGGTTTCGAGACCGTGCTTTCTGCCATCACAAAATAATTAATCCAGTTGCTGTGCATATAGTTTTATTTATTTGTAAGTCTGACAGTCTTTTACATGTCCACTAAAACATTAACGTTGGTAACTTGCAATATAAAAGATTGTCTTATTTTTGTTGGTATATATATACGCAAAAATGATGAATAAGAGCGGACCGGATGATCAAATCACTACATCAAATTAACGGTGCAATCGAACAGTGATACAAAATTTTTTGGATTAATTGTGATAAGAAGGAAGAAAATCATTATCAACTTGGAGCAACTTTGGGATGAAATATAGTTATTTTTAAGACGGATCTTCATTTTTTCAGATTTGTTATTAATCCACAAATTAATTAATAACAAAAATCTCTCGGTCTAGTATCATCTAGTCAACACAAATTTATGACGCTCTAAATTATCTATTATAACGATTTGAGTAGTGAAATTTTTCCATTCCTTTTTTATGTTGACCACAGCAAAAAAAAAAAAAAAAAAAGTAGCATTAGTCATCATTTCCACAATAAGTTCGAAGAACGGTAACATACTAATAAACCGATGTCAAAATCATTAATAACCAGAAACTCAATCATTACTTGTCACATTCCTAAAACGTTAATAACCAACACGTTCTGTTTTAACTTTGCTATCTTCCAAATTAACTATCAAATTGACGGTGTTATGATGATGACATTGATGATTTGACAAAGAGCACATAGCTTCTGTAAACTTTATAAAATATATAATACCCATTGAAAACTTATACTAGCTTTCATAAAATAAAAATGGAAACTTCAACTAGGGATAAGTTGAATGGTTAGGCTAGGATGACGACGCCCTGTAAACTCACGACGCTTCCCTTTTCTGAAATGGATTCATTGACCAATTTGGAGTATTTGATCAGCATAATGGGATAAAGATAAACATTAACCTCAAGTCGCAATCTATTGGTAGTATTCTTTACAAAGTAAAAGATCATGCCACCTCATTCTGAATTGTTTAATTAGCTGTAACTATTCAATAGCGAAAGATTAATTAAATTGGAGTGTTCCGAGGACCCGAATTTATTCAACGATGGGACGGAGAAAGCAAACAAGGAGGACGACGATAACTTGCAGTTACAAGAAATCCAACCATAGGTTTCAGCTGCATGAACAAGACACCCATCATGTTCTGTGATTACATAGAAAAGAATCTTAATCGGACATACATATATCTTTTTCCGTAACGCGCTGGGTTTCCTAAGCTGCAGATTGACCTCGGAGCCTCTCATTCTTTGAACATTCCTCCTGCAGAAATGAGAGACAAGCTTTTCAATAGAGGGACAAAATGACGATTATTGTGTTTACATGGCTGCAATTAGAATGACGATGAGAACAAGTTCATCCTACAACCATCGAGAAGGGAACCCGAAGGGCTAACCTGAAATGCTTTCAACAGAGAATAGCAATGCCTTTGCTCCGACATTGCAGCAGCATACTTCTTCTTGAGATTGCTGAGAGTCATCTGCTCCTCATCAAGTCCATTCTCCAACTTTCGTAGCTTCTGCAGGCAAGAGGAGACAGTAATTACCATTACCACCTTAATCCATAGACACCTAGATATGATTTGGCAGTTCACAATTGCAAAATGGGTAGGGTAGATGACCTGTTGACTGTTCTTCACAATTCCCTCCATTGAAGCTATGAGTTTGATGCGACCGTCAGCACTAGTAATTGCATCCTGGAACTGTAAAGGGTCGAAGGGGATGCTAGTCACAATTCACTCATGACAATTGTGTACATAGGTTTTTTTGAAAATTCTATTTTCCTATGCATCTCTCGAGTTAGGAAGCAGTCAGAACATGACAGAACTGTTGTTGATGAAAAACTGAACCAATCATTGCAAGCAAAACTAAACAAATTGTCAGCACAATATAGCCTCGATCGAATCTACATTTGAATATATGAACATATAGCCCGTTAATACATATACATATACACACGGAGCATGCTTTGGCGTATTTAATAACTATAAGAAACATTGTAAGGAGCTTCTTCACAGCATTTAATTCACAAAAGTAAGCTACAGATCACAGAACCTTGAACGATTTTTACCTGGGAATTTATTGAGTTCAATAAGGAAGTTTCTTTTAGCATCAAGTCTTTAATCTCCAACAGAGCATTATAGGTATCATAGTATTTACGGGTTTGTTGGTGCTTCTCCTGGACGAGATCAAACAGAGTATTCAGAGAAAGAAAATAGTGGGAAAAATCAACAAAATATTTGATGGAAACCCTCATCTCATACCTGGATATAAGCATTGAGTTCAGAAAGTCTACGATCATACCTGGAAAGAAAGCATGAATTCACTCGAATGGGCAATTCATTATGTATAAGGAGTAGCATAACATTCTATTAAAGCGATTAAGCTAAGCATGTAGAAAATTAACAACATACTGGATAACTTCTGCTTGAGTCGCCACATCATCAATCTGACGCTTCACTAACAGTACGGCCCTCAGTCTACCTGCCAGTTCCTACAAACATAAAAAAAAACTAAACATTACCAACAATAAACTTCTATAGTGAAGAAGTCATGTACAGACTCCATTACTAAGTTCCACAAGATACCTTCTTTGCTGAATCTAATTTCTCCAATGACATTTCCAGCAAACTATCCAGGCTCTCACTGTGAGAACCAGATTCCACCTTGTCCTCCAATTCGCAAACCTCGGCTTCTAATCCAGCACGTCTCGCATCATAATCAGCTCGTAGCACACATTCTTCATTCTCTAAGCTCTACAGAAGCATTCGAATAACCACTCCTAAATGCTTGCTTGCTAGGGCAAACAAATTGACACTCGTTATTAACGTGTTTCAGCGATTACCTTCAATGATTCGAGAATCGGAATCAGTTTATCAACGGTTGCATTACAACCAGAACCATCAATTCTCTCTCGCAACTTCTGCGATTCGCTCAGAACATCAGCCTTTCTCCGATTCTGAAAATTTCCGCGCGCAGAATTAAAAGCGAAGCAAAGAGGAAGGAAATGGAGCGGTTCTCTACCATTACAGTTTGTACTCAGGCGCCTTAACGAACCAAAAGCTCACCTGATACCTGTTCATTCAAGCTAACATTCAGCATCTGAATCGAAGCTCGGGTGCGATCCAGTTCTCGCTCAAGCAGCTGAAGATCGTCTTCTCCGTCCTGCGAAATCGACGGATCAAGGAAAGAAAATCAATAGTAAATAATTGATAGAGAAATGGAATGGCACTGAAGAAAGATCTGGAGCGGTGCGCCTCTGTTTCCGGCGGTTGAGCCTTACCCCGCCGTCGCCGGTAGATTCGCGAGTTCGGAGAGACTCCATTAACGAACGGGCAATAACCTGAATTCGATGAACGTGCAAGAATCTTGCGGCAAGATGGATGATCATGAATCCATAAGGAGCGTGGTAAAATGAAACCTCCCAGGAAGCCAGAATGTGTGGCCCATATTCAGTTCACAACAGCGGGCCGTAAGCCCTTATAAGGCGTCAATTTCGAGCTGGAGTGGAATTGGGCTATTGCCAACTTGGATTGGGCCATTGCTTGTTAAGAGATACAAGTGTTATTATAATAACCTTTTTGTCCCTGAACTTTTTTCTCGACAAGTTTAGTCCCTAAACTTTTGTTCCTCATCATCAAACTAACCTCTCAACTCAAGTCATTTTTTAATGCAATCAAGTGAGCAAGTTCATAGTTACTAAACACACACCTCTCTAAAAGATAACCCTCTTTTGATATTCTGGGACCGTCCATCTACCCTGATAAATGGCATGCAATCAAGGCTATATTATAACACCTATTCTCAAATGACAAATATACGAAATTAGTGAACACCTGAAAGTAAACAGAATATCATCAACTAGTCATTTATCAGATGACGGATGCTCCAAAATATATTAGTAAATATTTTGTTATGCGACCAGAGTCAAATATAATTCTCCTCCTTTTGGATGATGTTGCCCTCGTAATTACTCATGGTAACTAACTAAGCCCACCTAATTTTATCTTGCTAAATTGCATATACTCGAATGATTATGACGCTTATTCTCAAATTACAAATACACGAAAGGAGATAACACTTGAAAATTATAAAATAATATCATCAACAATAGCTATTTGTCTAACGACGGGCACTCCAGAATGTATAGTATCTATCTTTATGGGATATAGTCAATTTTCTCTCTTTTGGATGAGTTTGCCGTTTAAATAAACCCAAAAAATTGTATCTTGATAAATAGCATGCAATCGAGACGATTATAACACGTATTCTCAAATGACAAACATATAATCGAAACTAGAAAATCCCTGAAAATTTAAAGTAAAATAATATAATTAATCATAGTTACTTGTCTGATAACAAACACTCCAAAATATGTTAGTATATATCTTTCTGACCAGGGACAATTTTTTGCTTCATTTTTTGGATGATTTTGCCCTCTTAATTACTCATGGTAACTAACTAAGCCCACCTAATCTTATTTTTTATTTCAGATATTTGCAAGCAATCTATTTTACACTATACAAAACTCAAAAGTACATAAATATAACTTTCATTCACTTTTAATTCGATCCTTTTTTTTTCCTCCTTACAAACAATCACACAAGCAATATATAATAATATTAAATACTTTACTTCCCAAGTGTATCCCACTGTCCCTCTAGGCATATACACAATATACATACCAAAACCACCACGACAAAAGAGAGACAACATTATTAATCACAATTCACAACGCTTAATCAACATACGAGACAATCACAACTTTACGAAACACACCAACATTACTTTATAACCAGACACCACGTTAACCCCGACAGCAACCATGCATGCATGCTCCTCCCTCAGTTAACAGCCAGCTGATCCCGATCATCGACGTCGGGCGACGTCGACAAGCCAGCGAAAACATCGAGGGCATCGTCCTTCAACGTAGAGACGAAGTAAGAGAGGAACTCGGCGTAGGTGAAGCCGCGATACAACAGCGGGTGCTCTTTGTCGACGAACTTCTCCGGCGCCTCGATGGTCGAGTCGTCCTTGGGCATCAAGAAGCTGCCCCACGTGTACCTCTCCTTCTCCCCTCTGAGCACGACCCGGTGCCGAACCGAGTGGACCATCCCGTTGCTCCACGCCTTGAGCGCGTCCCCGACGATGGCCACGAACGCGCCCTCGGGGATCACGACCGGGACCCAGCTGTCGTTGTCGTCCTTGGGCTGGATCTCGAGGCCCTGGACGTCGTTCTGGCCCAGGATGGTGACGGTGTTCTTGTCCGTGTGGGCCAAAAGCCCGATCCCGGCGTAGTGGTCGGCGGCGGGAGGGGCGGGCGGGACTTTGTACTTCATGAGGCGTAAGTAGCTGGCGGTGGTGTCTGCCACGTGGGATGTGGCGTCGTCGAGGTTGTAGCTGGTGAGTAGCATCTTCATGATGAGGAGGTTCAGCTCCACCATCTTGGCGCTCATCTCGCTCAGTGCTTCACTGTTGCGTATGTAGACAGGAAAATTTACGTCGTAGTTAGAATCAGAATGATATTCGTCGTGAAATCACTCAAGTTGTTGGGAGATCGAGTTGGACGATTAGTTAAGTATGGATATCGCATTGTTTTCTTACATTGTATATATTAAAAAACAAATATACTGTTGAGGTTCTAGAAATGATGGTAACGTATAGGAAGGTCAACAAGCTAGGAGGAGGCTAAATGATTTATTTGCGATGGGGATAATCTGTGATTGGTCACTGAAGTTGACCTTTTGATAATAGACAACCTGAAAACAGCTGTTACTGTTTCCTTGATGGGAGTATAACGTATTAAAAAACAGAGCGGATGTATTTTAATCCATACACTTAAAAAAGAAATAACAAACAAGGATTTGACAGAAGCCGAAGAAACATGCACAAACTAGGGCAGAATTTAATGGAATACTGTGTTTTTTTTTTCTTTTTAATAATATAGATAGATAGATCTATAAAGCTGACTAAGGTAATATGTTAGGTATTATCCTGGTATTTTTTTTGGTAAGCCGTATCGTCTCGGAATTCCTGTAGTGGTTTAATTATTATGTATCGAAAAAATTTAATAATTTCGAACTTGTTGTTAATTAATTTTTGCTTGTGGTTTTTGGGGATTGGAACTTGTTACTTTGTAGCTGATTTTCTGCGAGGACATGTGCAGAGTGGAGCTAGATCGAGATATACAATAAAAGCAAGGCTAGCTAGCTAGCTGCCTGGAAACACTCCCATTAAATTCAATCTGTTTTGAAAAAGGATAAGCCCCTAATAAATATAGAGAGGGAGGAGTCTAGTAGAATAGAATTGGCTGGTTCTGGCTTGTTATAGCGCACTGTTTGGTAGCACCATATATACACCACCACCATGTCTAAATTTAGTGCCACCCAAGGTTGTCAACCCGCGGATTGACCCACTTTGACCCTGACCTGGTGAGAAAAACGGGTCGTACCCACCCGCCGGGTCGACCGCCACAAGGTACCGGGTTTGAGGTCAAATTATGTCATTTTTTTCTTTGTTTTGCGAAATGCGCCTATTTTCCGATTTTTCTTTTCGCCTAACTCAATCTTTGGAATCCTAAATTGAACATTTGAATACTAATGTTATATAAGTGTGTGTGAATTTTCACTATATGTTAAATCTAAGTACGAAATGTTATTTTGGTGTAATATTATATGTTATAACTCATATGTTAGATGAGATTTGATATAATTTATCAGGATAAGTATAATATAATGACGCTTTCCATATTTCCGGGCTAAACCGGGTGATCCATTAACCCTTGACCCACTAGCTCAACCGGGTCCGGGTCAACCCGCGGGTTGACAACCGAAAAGAGAATAATTAATTGAAAATACAATAATATCTTCCAAACTTTGTAGTTCAACTAGTTATTTATGTTTGTTGTTGCTCAAATGTTATTTTTGCTATATAAAAATCAATTCTAATTCCCACGCCATTGAAAGTGACTTGTCTCGTATGCCCAACTTGTAGTCAATTTAATTGTTTTTTTTTTTGGCTGTTTTTAAGGTTCAACTTTCAAGTGTCAAGACTAAAAATGGAATTACGCAATACTTTTTTTTTTTGGTTAGGAGAATTACGATACTTTCCATAGTGCATACCAAAAACCACACCATCAATTGCACTTGTAGTTGACCATTAAAAAATTAGTTGCCACTTAAATTTTCATATGGTTGGAGAAAAGTCGCGCATTAATAATATTACATGATAAAATCGGATCAAATTTACAAGATAAGAAGGAGAAGATAGAAGAAAAAAAATTGTTGTTGAAATCGGATCGAATTTAGATTATAATCGGCGAATTGCGACAAAAATTAAGTAAATTATACGAAACTGAAAAAGAATAATGAGGGATTGGAATGAATTACCGGAATTCAGGGTTGCCTTGGGGCCACATGACGGCAGTGAAAGCCTCCGCCGCGTCATCAACGTCGGGAGCCTGTTCGTCGATGCCGAAGCTCTCGAGGTACGGGACGACGTCGTTCTTGCCCAGGTAGCTCCGGTACGGCTTAGGGCTGACGTGCCTCTCCTTGGTCTCCACGGGGAGGTCGAACAGCTGGCGCAGCCCTTCCGCCATCCCTTCCCTCAGCTTCGCGGTGACCTTGTCCGTCGTGAAGCAGAAGCAGCCGTGAGTCTCGCACGCCTCCCGCACCTTTTCGCACACCTCCCTCCACCGCGCGCCGCCGTCGGCGGCGATCATCTCTTCTTCCCCGGCGGCGCCGAAGTCGAAGAAGGGGATTTCGTAGGGCTTCTGATCAGCACCATTGGCTGCCGCAGGAACCACCATGGTTGGGAGTGAAATTATGGTGTAGTTTAGAGAGAGAGAGAGGAATGGGGGTGTTTGATTATGGAGATTGGAGGGAGATCGGGAGGGCATTTATAATATAAAGGCAAAGGGTGTCTGTCCAGTCCACTTCAGATACGTCCAAAAGTTTGGGTGTAGAAGGGAGAGTTTACTTTGGGAGGCTATGAGTGGAAAACAAGGAAATAAAACAAAAAGAGGGTTATTTTATATATATTTTTTTATTTTATTAGTTTAATTGTGTGATTTGAGGGGCCGCCCTCCACTAGCCGCCACTACAACTCATTCTCAATGGCAGAAGCCCGCCACGATCATTTCTCGTTCTACATGGAGGATAGTATTATATGCTCTTTTGAAATTGGGGAAAGGAAATGTGTGAAGAGAGAATGTAGGAGGTGAACAAAATGTATGTATGTATGTATGTATTGTTGTTGTTAATGATAATAAAATGATAGACCCATTAGGTTTTTGTTATGTCGGAGGTATTATATCGTCCGATGAACGAAATTGGTCGGTATCATACCGCTGATAGTGACCACAACGAAAGAAAGTAAACATATTCGTGCAATTGCGGTTAGTCGCTAGCTGTAACGTCTTTAGCTGTGGTCATTTCGATGGCTTTCCTGATTACCGCCAATGAGAAGGGAAAAAAATGGGAAAACCAAAATCATGGGGGTTGAGAGGGTATTTGACGAATGGTTGTAGCAAGGGTTGGGAAATGTTACAATTTGATTCAAATCATATATATATATATGATCTATGCTCCAAACCAAATCCCACCTATATGGTCTGGTCTCATATGATATGGTCTGGACCAGGACGATCTTGTTAAGTAGAAATTAAAAAATTAACATTTTATTTGGCCCAGCAAACAAAATATTGGACCAATGACTGGAAACTCCTGATTTTGACATGCATGTGTAATCTTAATACCCTAAATTCAAGTAAATAGCAAAGATAGAAAGTAAGAGCAATCTAATTTCCACCGTAATGTACAAAAGATTGTGGTATGTACAAGGAGAACTAGATTTGCGAAATTAGGAGATTTGGGCCTTGTTTGAAAGTGGGGAGAGCGGTTGTTAATTAACACGAATCGAAAAGTGGGTTTGGTCTACAATCCGTTTGATAAACCAACACGATCTGTACCAAACGAGCCTATAAGATTAAAACAACTCACAATAAAGATCAGAACAAATCCAACCACACCAAACCATTTTTAACAGCATACTGTCTAGGACAAACTGTTCAATAGGAAAAGTATAGAATTTAATTGTTAGGGCACACACGAAAAGTGCAATGTTGTGTCGCAGGCTCCCAGCTCAAAAACCCTCTAAGATTAGGTAGAATTATACGTAATGTCTGATCGTTCACATGTTAATGTCAACAGCTAATGACATTATTAGTATGATTAGGAAACAGTTACTCTTTGATTAATAATAATGTACCCTAGGGACTGAATGTTTAGTGAGACGAAATGAACTTCCGGAAAAAGAAGAGCAAGATCGTATAGATATGTGAACAAGGAATTCCCTAAAACGACCGATCCTAATGAGAAGAGTTGAAAAGGTAGCATTGATGGCTTGCATTTGCAGAGATCCAAATGGGTCAGTTTGCCTGTGATAGCGAACTTGCTCTAGTTTTGGATGAATTCTGGATTCAAAGAGGACTGACTATAAAGTATAAACTGATATGATACACAGTTAAATAAGAACATGTTGGTTACAAGTCATAATCTATGTACGCGTGCCTGAGATATTGCGTTTAGTCATTCACGCATATTATATGTACTTCGATATATTTCGATGAATCAGAATTATCAATTATTATTTTTAGATTGAATGAATCTTATGGTTTGAGTTAGAGAATTAGGGTCATGAAATAATCACCCGACCCGTTAGAGTTTAGAATATAGTATCATATTCTAAATTTCAGTTCCGATGAATGTACGATAAGATTAGCGTACGTAAGGTGTATGCTAGCTAATCTGAACCACCAAGATATATATAATATATGTGTGCAGTTGTGGCCTGGGGTGGGGGAGGGACACCCATCAGGCAGCAGCAGCTGGTGCCCTATGCCTTTCATACTGACACTAGTTTTGAAGGGTATATGTATGTATTTATACAATAATAATAGGGTATCCCCACTTCACCATTAATGCAATGAGAGGTTGCCAAAGTTGCAGAAACAAACACATTCTTTGTATAAAAGGGTCCCCTGCCTGCTGGAACCAAGAAGAAAACGTTTCCTCCAAAAGGAGCTAACTAGCTAGCTTTTGTGCAATTGAATTGAGGGGGGGGGGGGGGGGGGGGGGGGGGGTGGGTTTGAGTCTGTTTGGATATGGGGCTGGTTGGCAGACCCTCTTAAAGTTTCTGTTTTGAGTTGGTTGCTACTTTGTGGAAGCAACCTAACTTCCAGTTCTCATCACCCTCTTTTTGGGTCTTAGGAGATCACTTTGTCTCAGTGTCTCTGCCTCTATTTGTGTCATAGTTCAAATGTTAGTAGTTAAGAAGTTTGAAAATTTCACGCCCCCTCAAACGAAAGCCGACTTATGGGCTTGAAATTTGCATAGGCCCAACCCTACCATGTGCTTGAAAGACAATGATTAATATTGGGGGTCGTGAGGACTTGAACACGTGATCTCACGAACAAACAAGCTCTGATACCATGTTATGAACCAGTTGGTCCCAATAACTCGAGTTGTTGGGAAAAGGTTATGTTGGATCATATAAAGGCTCGTGTGTGGTGCTTAACCACTTCCTTACATGAAGTGTGCAAATGAATGATGTGTATAAGAAAATACTTTACATTTGGACCAATTATTAATATTAAAAAAAAAAATGCTGCGAGGAGCTCTCTCCTCGTTCTGGGATTTGTCCCACTGGGTGGGCAGATGGGTGTTTCGTTTCTTCGTCTCCCTTTTGCTGCGCAGCCTGGCAAACAAAGAGGATAAAGGTCTGCTGAAAGTGCAAGAGGTTTGGGTAAAATTTACTCACCGTAGTCACCAGGTCGACAGGCGTCCAGTAAGACAGGAACCGCCGGTGACCGAGAAAAGTTTGGAATATCAGGTCTTGACCCAAAATCGAGTGGTCGAAACTAAGGGTCTCAAGACACGTAAGAGGGGTTCTCAGAGGGGGGATGATTATACATCTCCAACCTATCCCCTCGTCGATTGTAGAGCTGCAAAAAGATGCAGGTTCAGTTGTATTAAAGAGTGGAGATTTTGCCTCCCCTCTTCATCGGAATTGGTAGGCGATGAAGATTATCCGCTGTTATCCAATCCGACAGATTTGATTAATAACGATATTGCTCTGGTTATGGTTTCAGCTGCCCCGAGTAGAACTGAGACGGCAACGAAGGGTAGCCAGCCGGAGAAAGTCTTCGCTGGCGTACTGCTTCCGCCGGAGCAATCCGTTGGCAAGTTCCGTGAGCCGTTGGAAGTCCGATTAGCCACGGTTGGAACAAAATCTATCCCTGATTTTGCGGGATTATTGGGAAATTATAGCTTTACCCGATTTCACCGGAGACATAAGGAGACCACCCGTAACTGTTTAGTCAGGGGGAAGAGTCCGTCTCCGCGTCGAATTTACACCCGGCCTACAATCCTTCCCTTGCGAGATACTCGGGTAGGGGGGAAAGGAGTTGTATTTAATTCCTTCCTGAAGGGGAGCTTAGACCTAACTTTCTTCCACCAAAGAAGAGGCGATAGCTCTCCTGTTCCCCTGTTGCCTCCGAAGCTCGTTGCAAAGGAAAGCCCAGGTACGGAGGAAAGGCGGGACTCGGCGACGTTGTCGATAATTCCTACTGTTTCTACCAATCCCCCTGTGGCGCAGCTTTCTTCTCTTCTGGGACAGAACCTTCTGATATCAATAGAAGGGCTGCTAGGGGGTGCGGAGACGCATACTAACTTGTTTGGTGCGTCTTTTTGGCAGGAACAGAGGAGGATGAAAAACGTTGCTGACGAACAAGTAGTCCAGTTCTCCTTGGAAGAGGTACAATCAGCCAGGTTTCGGGCCTCTCGTACCATCTTGGGGAGGCTGTTTACCAAGGAGCGGATGACGACTATGGAATTGCGGGAGGAGCTACTCGATGCTTGGAAACTCCGTGGTCATCTCAAAGTCTCGAGTACCAAATTTTGGACTGTATGAGATTGTCTTGCCAAATGAAGAAGCAAAGAAGTGGGCGTTGGCACGTACCCCTTGGATTATCAAGGATAAGTTGCTCACCCTCCGCGTCTGGTCGCCGACAATCTCCGAGAAGCAGTTTGAGGGGATGTCGAGGGCGCCGTTCAGGATACAACTCTGGGGAGTGCGAGATGATTGTCGCACAAGGCTGTTTGGTCAAAAATTCATATCTGCTACTATTGGCCAAGTTCTTGAGTCAGGACTTTTTTCCTCGACTGAGACAACAGAACATTTTATCAAAGTGCGGGCTATGGTGGACTTTGCTAAGCCACTTCGATCCCAATTGATGGCGGTTAGCGAAGAAACCGATCGATTCTGGGTGAGCCTCAAGTATGAATTTCTACCCAGCTTCTGTTTCCACTGTGGTCGGGTAGGCCATGCTCGAAGGGACTGTGATTTCGATCCGCCAAAAGGAAGGGAAGGATTTGGCCCCCATATGGCGACCAAGAAAGTGGGTCGTCAAATTTATGATGAGGATGATCAGTCTATGACAGCAGGGGGATCGAGGAGTTCCGTTTGGGTCAATCGCCAAAAACCAGGCAGGGAAATCGAAACAGGGCCGAAGCCCTCCACTGTCAATGAGGAGTTGGATCGGGCCCACCCAGCAAACAAGCTTCGGGCTCAGAATGATGGGCCTGCCTCCAAAAGCCTGGGGAGAGAGGATCGGGCTGTGGATGAGATGCTCGCACATAGGGAGCTGGAGCGGTCCCCTGCCCGTCGACATAGCCCCAAGGGCTTTGCTATGAATCGACCACCTAAGTTGCAAATTGGTGGGAAGGGAGGAAAGCAAAAGCGGAAGGGTATGATCAAGGAGATGGCAAAACCGGGAGCCCGCGGCAAGCTGGGCGGGGAAGGGTATCATACTCAGCAACCGTCTCGGCTGAAACCGCACCCCTCAGCGGTCGAGATGCAGGCAGAGACGGTGGAGGCTTCCCGGCGTAGGCGGCTCATACTGGAGGACGATTCAGACGATGACATGATCGCTCCGTCCCGGACAACTGCCTGTGAAAGCCCGATCCAACCGTCTAATGAGTTGGTGCCGCCTGTGGTCTCTGCTAAGGACCTGGCTCCTATACCCGATATTCCAAAGCAGGGAAAGAAACTCCGGCTGAGGCGTCGCACTCAAACAGCGGCAGTGGAAGAGCAGGTTGTAGGGGAGGGAGGTGCGCGGGTCTCGGACAAGCGTCGAGAGGCTAGAAAACACAGGCCGGCTCAGGGTCTGCTTGGAGATGAAGGGCAAGCCCAGGGTAGTGCAAAAACTATTCTAAACCCGATGTCACCTGCCCGTGCAGCGTCTATTGAAAATGACAAGGCGATGACAGTGGGGAGGGTTGCGGCTGCCACGCTGGATGATACTTTGGCTTATGAGGCGAGTGCCTCGGAGGAGTCAGGGATGGATGTGGACAATCAATGTTTTGAAATAAGGAAACGGGCCCCGCTGCCCCAATCGGTGAAAGATGGGCAGGGCATGGTGGGCAAAGCCGTTCAGGCTGATGCAGTACTTGATGGAAGGTTGATCGAGGGGCATGTTACTGCTGCCCAGCTTGATGTCCAAGATGGGATTCTGAATCCGGGGGCTGAGGTATTTGATGAATATGGGTCCAACATGACAGGTTCAGTGTTTGTTACCAGGAAACGACCCTTGGCGGCTGTCGATGGTGAAGTTGGATCATCTCCAACGCCCAATAAGCAGTTTGTTGAAGCTACTGATGTTTTCGATCATGAAAAGGTGGAGGAAGCCAGCCTAAATTGGCCCCAGTCTGATAAATGAGGCTTCTTGCCTGGAATGTGAGAGGGATTGGGCCATCCCTCACATTCCAAACTGATGTTGGTTTAGTTCGTTCTAATAAACCGGATCTTGTGTTTTTTTCGGAAACACGATCGAGCCGGCGTGTTGTGTCCCGTCGTATGAGGGGCCTAGGTTTTGATTTTTCTCATTGTTTTTATGTTGATGCGGTTGATGCATCTGGTGGTCTTGTAGTAGCTTGGTCCCCCGGAGTTGATGCTTCGGTGTTTTATCATTCGGAATTCTGTATTTGTTCCCAGATTAATGAAGATAATTTCTCGTATATTGTTGTTTTTGTTTATATTAGTTGCAATTCTGTTGTTCGAGCTTCTCAGTTGGAGCACCTTCGTGGGATTTGTTCTACCTTTACACTCCCGTTTGTGATCATTGGTGATTTTAACACCACCCTTCGTATAAGTGAAAAAGATGGAGGGAATCCTTGGAATGTTGCTCAATCAGTTTGCTTGAGGGATTTTATCCGGGACTTAGGGCTCCATGACCCGGGTTTCCTGGGTGAGCCGTTCACTTGGACTAATAGAAGGATGGGTGCGACCTGCATTAGGGAGAGGCTTGATAGGGCTCTGTGTTCCCAGAGTTGGGTTGATCGGTTTCCGGAGACCTTGGTGAAACACTTCACAGACCAGGGCTCCGATCACAGAGCTCTCCTCCTCTCGGACAAGCCCTATGTTCGCAATATTCGCCCTCTTTTCCGGTTTGATGCCAGATGGGCGGATAACCCAGAAGTTAGGGCTATGGTTGGTTATGTTTGGAAAGAGGAGATTCAGGGGACCCCCATGTTCTGTCTGTGGGAGCGACTAAAAAGACTCGGCCACCTGCTCTATGACTGGAGTAGGGCCGGGACCACGAATTCCCTCCGAAATATCAGGACTCTCCAGAGTGAACTTGATAGGGTTAAGCTAACCCAACCTATTAACTGGGATGAAGTCCGAAATTTGGAGGTGGAATTAAATCGGCAGTGGGAGGCGGAGGAGGAATACTGGCAACAGAAGTCTAGGGTTCACTGGCTGAAAAAGGGTGATAAAAATTCAGCGTATTTTCATACGGTGACCAGGACTCGGCGGAAAAAGAATTTTGTAGAGGGTCTTCGTGATGAGACTGGTAACTGGGTTACTGATGAGAAGGGGAAGGCTACCATTGCGACGTCGTTTTATCAGCACCTTTTCGCGACGGAGAATCAAGTGAATAACATGGCTGAGCGGGTGGCGGAGCTGCCTATTGCCTGTAATGTTACCCAGGAGATGAATGATAGCCTTACGGCAGAAGTTCTCCCCAGTGAAGTGCGGAAGACGGTGTTTGCCATGGGGTCTAAGCAGGCTCCGGGGTCGGATGGATTCACGGGGAAGTTTTTCAAAACCTTCTGGGATATTGTGGGTAATTCAGTGGTGGACGCGGTGTTTCTTTTTTCACAACTAGTAGTCTACTCCGGAGCTTCAACCACACCTGGCTCACGTTAATCCCGAAGGTTGATAAAGTGGAATCTATGCGGCAACTCAGGCCTATCAGCCTTTGCCAGTTCGTGTATAAGATTATCACCAAAATTCTGGCAGAGAGGCTTGCGACTGTGTTACCTCAAATCATTTCGGAGGGGCAAAATGCTTTTATAAGGGACCGGCAGATTGTGGAGAACATTCTTTTGGGTAATGAGCTAATGCATTATTTGAAAATCAAAACTCGGGGCAAGAAATGATACATGGCTTTAAAGGTTGACATGGAAAAGGCCTATGATAGAGTCGAATGGTCCTTTCTTCTTGCGATTTTGGATAAAATGGGCTTTAACTCTACCTGGAAAGAGTGGATCTACAAGTGCCTGCGATCCGCTTCTTTCTCGGTGCTCATGAATGGTACCCCCTCGGGGTTTTTCACGTCTTCCAGAGGTTTGAGGCAGGGAGACCCTCTGTCCCCGTTGCTTTTTGTGCTCTGTACGGAGGGCTTTGCGGCCCTCCTACGGCAAGCAATCCGAGAGGGACGTTTAGAGGGGGTGAAAGTGGCTCCGCGTGCGCCCCTTATCTCTCACTTGTTCTTTGCGGATGTGAAAATTTGATAGAGGTTTTGAATGAATATGAGGAACTCAGTGGCCAACGGGTGAATCTGGATAAGTCTGCTGTTTGTTTTAGTAAAAACATTGTCAGGGCAGATCAGGAGTTTTTGGCTGATATCCTAGGAGTGGGTGCGGTAGGAGTGCATGATAAGTATCTGGGACTACCCACGTTGATCGCGCGTTCCAAGATGGAGACCTTCCGGTATCTCGAGGAGAAGTTACTAGAGCGCCTTCAAGGGTGGAAGCAAAGGACTTTGTCGTGGGCGGCGAAGGAGATCTTGATAAAATCCATCGCCTTGGCGTTGCCGTTACATGTGATGTCCTGTTTTAGACTTCCGGCCGCTTTGTGTCGGCTATTGGACAAACATGTGGTTCGTTTCTGGTGGGGGGATGCTGTGGATCAGGGTCGTATTCACTGGATGTCCTGGAAAAATATGTGTCGAAGTAAGCATGAGGGTGGGATGGGGTTCCGTCGTTTTGAGCAATTTAATCAAGCTTTATTAGCCAAAATTGGTCGGCGTATTCTTATGGAGCCTCAATCCCTGCTGGCCCAGGTTTATAAAGGTAAATACTTCCTAGGGGGTTCTTTTTTGACTGCGATGCCTCGCTCTTGTCCTTCATGGGGATGGCAAAGTATCCTTTATGGTAGGAATTTACTGGAGAAAGGTTTGCGGTGGCAAATTGGGAATGGGAAGTCTGCCTCGCTATTGCATTCTAATTGGATTCCTTCCTTCCAGTTGGACCCTCCTCGTTTTAATCCCCAGGTGTTGCCCATGGAGGGTGACGTGAAGGTTGAGGAGGTAATCTGTCAAGGGGAAGGGAAGTTGAATGATCGAGCGCTTAGCCAATGGTTTGACCCACCAACATGCAGGGCCATAAAAGCTATACCTCTCCCTCGGCAGTCGGTAGAGGATAGGTTAATTTGGCATGATTCCCCAGATGGGGTTTTCTCGGTCAAGTCGGCTTATCATCTAGCGGTTGCTCTAGATAAACGGCTGGGGAAGTGGAAAGCTGATGTCAGTTGGATGGATAGGGCGAGCTGGATTCGAGTTTGGGAAGCCAAGATCCCTCCAAAGTTGAAGATATTTCTCTGGCAGATCCTAAATCGGCTTCTTTCTACCACGGAGGCCCTTATAGAGAGGAAGGTCCCGGTCCATCCCAGATGTCCGGTGTGTTGGGCTGAGTCTGAAACCATGGAGCACCTCTTCCTGGATTGTCCGGTTGCGAGGGCCCTTTGGGATTATGCTGGTTTGGCTCACCTCGGGGAGGGGCTGCCTCGTCATACGTTTCCCTTATTTCTTAAAAGGCTGATATCGTTGCTTAATCAGCCTAATGATATTATGGCGGTGGTAGCTATCTTATGGCGCATTTGGCGTTCTCGAAATTGGGTTGTCTTTGTGGGCAAGCAGTTCGGGTTCTCTGCCCTGATGCGCCAATTCCATCAGCAGTATGAGGAGTGGATCCGGCTTCCGGTGGATAGTATTCCTTATAGTACTCAGGGTGCGCCAAACCGTCGGGTGGTGGCTGGGGGACAAGGGCAAGGGTTCATTTGCATGTGGGATGGTGCCGTTCGGAGTGGATCTCATTCGGCGGGAGGTCTGGTCCTCCTAACCCAGGATCGGCAGATAATGCTCGCGAAAGGGGTGCAGTTTCCTTGGATTGAGGACCCATTGGTGGTGGAGTTAGTTACGCTGCGGGAGGCTGTTCGGTGGTGTCAGTCGTTTGGTTGGGCGGATATTACTTTTGAGGGCGATGCGCAGATTATCATTGATAAAATCAATCTTAAAGACGCTCGGGATGGTCGTTTGGGTGCGGTGTTGGAGGAGGTTATTCAAATTTTCTCCGGGAATCCAGGTTTTAGTGTTAGATTTGTAGGTCGGCGTTGCAATAGGGTAGCCCATATGGTGGCTCGTAAAGCCCTTTCTTTGTTCCCGACTATGGGTCTTTCTTTTGATTTCTGGGCCTGGTTGGTGTCCAGGACTTAACTATTTTTCTTGATCAATATATGATTATCTATTGTAAAAAAAAATAATAATAATATTACGATGATGGGTGCAATCACTTAATATTGCTATGATGTATATGCTCACATAATTAAGCTTGCGTGTAACTGAACAACATGTAAAAAACAATTTGGATAATTTCTTTATATTACGATGATGCATGCACTCACGTAACCTTTTCATCAATAAATTCTCATTCCAGGCTTCCAGCTATAAGACTTGACTTGCCTAATTTTCCTCCAACTAACATGGGCTGGCACTCTAGGCCCATTTCAATCTTCCCCAGACTAGTCGGCCCAATTCTTTGTTTCTTCCCCTACGTACTACTCTGGGAACGGATCAGGTCAGTAACCTTATGGTGAGTAACCATGAGTAACCAGTCTACATCAGCATGACATCAGCATCCTCTCTCTCCTAGAAAGCCTTTAATTTTCCCCTCTTTAATCTTCTCACTCATTTTAAGTCGAAATTTAATTTTTTTTTTGCACAGTTAGATCAGATTAATTGTGCTCTTCAAAATGATATCCACTTTAATATATTTTTCGAACAAAAAAAATTGAGCCATTTTTTACCAGTCTATACCATATGGTATTGACTGGCATTGAAATAAAAGCATACCTATGGTTTGAAAAACATATCATGGTGGTATGAACAAACCAAGACTGTAGGATGGTTGAATGCATGATAGTAGAAGTATATTAATTGTCATTTACGACTTTTAACATTGTATACCATACAATACCATCCCGTACCAGGGTGGTATTGTATGGTATTATGTGGTATTTTTTGGTCCTGTAATTTGTTCACTCAGAAATTTGTAGATCCAATAGATCATGATGAACTCGTCCTTTCTGTGCAAACGTTTTAAAAAACGAATTAAAAACGAAGAAGATACCATACAATACCACCCCGTACCAGGGTGGTATTGTGTGGTATTTTTTGGTCCTGTAATTTGTTCACCCAGAAATTTGTAGATCCAATAGATCATGATGAACTCGTCCCTTCTGTGCAAACTTTTTCAAAAACGAATTAAAAACGAAGAAGATACCATATGGTATGCAGTTGGTACCGAGAGGCCAGAATTTTTTTTTCTAAAAAAATATTGAAAATTATTCTCATTTGGTAGAGCACGATTGCACTAGACACCAACGACAAAGGACTATTGACAATCCTAAGAGACGGACTACTGACCTAGGGGACACTATCTGGTGGCATAACTCCCGATCGACTCGAGAGCTCTTCTAGGTGAAAAACCCGACCCTGTTTACTCCCTCGTCCGATCTGCCGCCCCGTCTTCAGGTCCTGTATAACACAACCAGAGGGTCCAAACAAAAGGGAGCAACCGTGCTCGGTAAGTTGCCCAACAGAAACTGAATTCGGAACAAGATTAGGTACATGGAGTGTGTTGGGCAAATTAATTTTGGGCGTGTGAACCTGACCAATGGCTCGGACATCCAAAGGTTGGCCATTAGCTACACGTAACGTCATGTTAGGAACAGGAGCTGGTGCACTTAATTGACATGAATCCTTTGTCATATGGTTAAAACAGCCGGAGTCCAAAAGCCAAGGTCGAGTGTTACCGGAAACCTGAAGCGCGGCGAAGGCATTGCTGATCGCACCGGGCAAAGACCTTTGAAGGGCGGCATTCACGACCTGCTCAACAGCAGCAACATCGACAGTGGGTCCAGGGGCAGGTCCAGGAACAGCTGCGGGAGGGGGCACAGCAAACGTCGGGCGATCGGCAGAGGTGCCGACAGCAGCAGCTCGAGCAGCAGATCGTTGGGCCGACCTGCAATCAAGCACGATGTGACCGGTGCGTTTACAATAAACGCAGAAGTTCTTGCGGCGACAGTGTTTTTAAAGGTGGCCCTTCTCGCGGCAATGATGACACTCGACGTTGGAGTTGGGCTCAGCAGTGGGGACGCGACGCTGAAATTGAGGCCTCTGCACCGCGGCCACAACGGACTGGGAGGAATCAGTAGCTGCAAAGATGGTTTCGCCCTCGCCAGGACGAATATCGAGTTGGGCCTGGGTGCGCAAGCGCGTCTCCTCGCGAACCAGGTGGCCGAGGACACCATCGAATTTCAAGTCCTCACGGTTGAGCAGTGTGGAGCGAATCGTTTCAAATTCAGGCCGCAATTTCATGAGAAATTGACAGAGGCGGGAGCGTTGGCGATCCTCAAGGACTTCAGCCGATGCTTCCTTGGATCGGAGGGATGCCGTGAGGAGGTCCTGCTCGATCCAGAGTTCTTGAGCTTCACTGAAATAAGCGGTGATGCTTTTATTGCCTTGCTCCAAACGAGCGAGAGCAAACTCGATCTCGAACTGGCGGGCGGGGTTCACCGAGGAGTAGGTAGCGGCCAGGTGTGTCCACATACCCAAGGCTGTCGTATGCAAGCGGAGGCCAAGAGCAATCGATGGGTCGATCGTGCCCAGTATCCAGGACTGAATCCTGGCATCCTGTTGCTCCCAGCGGGAGATTTCTTCTTCCGTAGCCGGCTCAACCGGCCTCTTCTTGGTTCCATTGAGAATTCCCAGCACACCTTGTCCTTCAACATAAACACGGAATTGGAATTCCCACAGTGCGTAGTTCTTGTGATTGAGACGTAGAGACAGCTTCTCGGAATCCATCGTCGAAGGCTCTGATACCATGTTAGAAAACCTAGAAGTTGAAAATCAAAACGAACATATTTACGTGGTTTCCGGCACTCCAGTGAGCAATACCGACTAGTCCACGGGGAAGATAGGTCTCTTATTCAGCTTAAACTGCACATACGGTTACATATGAGTATATATACTACTCAAGCCCTAGCAAACCCTAGCGTCTGTAGACTACGCTAGGTTGCATGGGCATGGGCTCATTAACTCAACATGATACACAAATGGGCCATCCAGGCCAAACCGAGACCCCTAAACCCAACTGGTCTAACAGAACTCGTTCCATCTGTGCAAAATAAATTAAAATCCGAGTTAAAACGAAAAAGATATGAGTCGATTAAGAAAGCTAGGAAACATAAAAATGGTTCTTAATTTTCCATCCTTAGATCTGGATTTTCTAAATGAAGGGTCCAGATTTAGTTATTGATGGATGCATAACCCATGGTTATGCACCCTATCTTGAGCCCGTACTACTCCAATCCAATTGCCTTCTTCTTAATAATTTTCATCCTTGTAGAGTTACTTTGCTGGTTTATGAACTAATTAATCAAGCCCCTAGTTTCAGCCTTAATTAACCAATCAATCAATTAATTAACTAGCACATGTACGATGTAGAAGAAAGTATATAGATATGACTTACGTGTATTACTTAAGCCAACCAGACAGCTTATTATCACAAAAATGCCATATGATTAAGCAAAGTCGTCATATATTTACATGTGGGAAATATCCATACATAATTAAGCAGTGTCAACCCTAATTAATAAAGCTAGCTAAGCTTAATTGGATCCAGTAGTAGTTTCTAATCAGCCAGCCGCCATGCGCATGTGTTTTTCTTCCTATTCTCTCTTCAGGGTCAGACACCAATTTGGATTACACTACACGATAATTAAGTGCATTATTAGTGTATGATGTACTCTATATGATGACACCCTAATTCATCTTAGTTAAGGGAATGATGGCGTAGCCAATGTTGAGCCCTAGCAGGCTGAAAATTATATAAAAAAATTTGAGAGCTAGCATGGGCCAGCAAGGCAGCTACAGCAACGTTGTACGTTTTACTTTTACAGCAAGGCAGTATAAACGCGAGACTTGTCCATGGCCGCCGAAGCAGAAGATCTTTATTATTTCAGATTACTGCGTTCACCATCATCGACGGGCGACGTCGACAAGCCAGCGAAAACCTTGAGCGCATCTTCCTTCAACTTGGAGACGGAGCAATACAGGAGGAAGTCGGCGTAGGCGAATGGGCGGTACAGCAGCGGGTGGTCTTTGTCCACCAACTCCGCCGGCGCCTCGACCGTCGCGTCGTCCTTGGGCGCCAAGAAACTGCCCCACGAGTACCGCTCCTTCTCCCCTCTGAGCACGACCCGGTGCCGAACCGAGTGGACCCGCCCGTTGCTCCATGCCTTGAGCGCGTCCCCGACGATGGCCACGAACGCGCCCTCGGGAATGACGACCTGGACCCAGCAGCTGTCGTCGGTCCTGTCTTTGGGCTGGACCTCGAGGCCCTGGACGTCGTTCTGGCCCAGGATGGTGAGGGTGCTCTTGTCGGTGTGGGCCACCATCCCGATCCCGGCGGCGGCGGGAGGGACATTGTACTTCATGAGTCGGAAGTAGCTGGTGGTGGTGTCCGCCGCCGCGTGGGATAGGGTAGTAACGAGGCCGTAGCTGGCGAGTAGCATTTTCATGATGAGGAGGTTCATGTCCAGCATCTTGGCCCTCATCTCGCTCGCTGATTCGCTGTTATGCGTACGTGTATATATAGACCACAGGAAAATTGAAGTCGTAGTTAGAACGATATTTGTCACCAAAACGATCGCTCCAGTTGTTGGGAGAGTATCAATATAGGATGGTTTAGTTGGGTTGGATATATGTTAATAAAAAAAAAATACTATTGTACGTGATGCTAACGTATTGCAAGTTGATTATGAGGGATTGGAATGGGTTACCGGAATTCAGGGTTGCCTTGGGCCCACATGAGGGCAGTAAAAGCCTTGAGCGCCGCCTCATCGTCAACGTCGGGAGCCTGGTCGTCGATGCCGAAGCTCTCGAGGTAAGGGACGGCGTCTTTCTTCCCCAAGTAGCTCCGGTACGGCTTAGGGCTGACGTGCCTCTCCTTGGTCTCCACGGGGAGGTCGAACAGCTGACGCAGCCCTTCCGCCATCCCTTCCCTCAACTTCAGGGGGGCCTTCACCGTCGTGAAGCAGAAGCAGCCGTGAGTCTCGCACGCCTCCCGCACCTTGTCGCACAGCTCCCTCCACCGCTCCCCGCCGTCGACGGTTGTGATCTCTTCTTCCCCGGCGGCGCCGAAGTCGAAGAAGGGGATTTCGTAGGGCTTCTCAGCACCAACATTAGATGCAGTAGGAACCACCATGGTGTAGAGAGAGGGAAATTGTGGTGTTGTGAGAGAGAGAGAGAGAGAGAGAGAGAGAGAGAGAGAGAGAGAGAAAGGTGTGGGTTTATATAAAGGGTACGTGTTCAGTCCACTTCAGATACGTCCAAAAGTTTGGGTATAGAATAGAAGGGAGAGTTTACTATGGGGGCTATAAATAGGGATGGCAATGGGTCGGCTTGGGGCGGGTTTTGTCAAACCCAAACTCAAACTCATGGGTTTATCCGTCAAAAAAATCCGGGGTAAAACCCGCTGAGTTTGAAAAACTCAAACCCAACTCAACTCGCTGGGTATCCGCGGGTTCATGGGTACCCGTGGGTTTTTGTGGTAAAAAATTTACAATAACAAGTTTCTTTCAAAATAAAAGTTTATAACATTAATTTTCTCATACAAAAAACACCAATCTAGAGCATACAAGCAAACCGCAAATGATCAATACAAATTGTTCAAAATTAAAGATAAACATCTATAAACAATAAGATTAATTGAAAGCTTCTTACTCGTCAACTAAGTTTCTTCACTCTCCACTTCATAATATCAACTTCATTCTAAACCATTAGAAACAACAAATTATATATGTCTCCACAAACATAAAGAATATTAATTGTTTAAGGAAGATATATTATTTAGAGTATTAAATATACCGGGAAAGTATTTATATGTGTGGGGGCGGATACCCATGGGGCGGGTTTACCTAAACCCAAACCCAACCCGACCCGATGAATAGTGTAACGGGTTTAAACCCAAACCCGGCCCAAAACCGGTCAACATGGGTTTTACCTGCGTTGACCGGGTTGGGTCGGGTGGGTACCCGTGGGTTCGGGTTTTGTTGCCATCCCTAGCTATAAGTGGAAAAAGAAGAAAGCTAATATTTAGAATCGGCTAAATTACACGTTTGATCACTCAAATTATACAAATCTTTCCTGTTTGTCATCCGAATTACTTTTCTTTTTATTCGTCACTAACTTTACGAATCGTTTCAGCATTAGTCACCGGCCGTTACACTCCGTTAAATTTGTCCTACGTGGCAGTCAACTATAAAGTTTGACCGTTAACTAAATGATGTGGAAATTAAAAAAATTAAAAATTTATTTATTTTTTCATCTCATCATTTCACTTACTCTGTAAATATAGTTTATCATATTAATTATTTAATAAAAATTTATTAATTACAAAAATTAATTGTCCAATTTTTCCCTTGGGGAAGAGGGAGAGCCGGAGGCAAGTCTATTCTCTAGAAATCGGTTTATCTCCAACGAAAGACTCTCCATTGCTCTGCTGCTGCTTACAACCCCAATTTTGTTCACGGCTCCTTCCTCTTCCCCATGGAAAGTAAAGCTCTCTATCGTTCCAATTGAGGGGAAATAAAGGGATTAATTGTATGGTTGGTCACTGAGATTACAAAAAACGTCCAAGTTTGGTCACTCGAAATATTTAAATCCATTTGTGGTACTTCAATTTACTGAAATCGTTCATGTTTGGTCACTGTCCGTCCAACTCCGTTAACTTTTGCTGATATGGCAGTCAACTCTCAAAGTTGACCGTTGACTTAGTGACGTGGCAACTAAAAAATTATTAAAAATATATAAAAAAAACTTTTATATTTTCCACCTCATTATTACATTCATTAAAAAATTAAAAAATTAAAAAACCTAATTTCTTCCACCTACTCCAGACCCTTCACCTCCCGCCGGCGGCTCCCATCGCCGCCACCAAGCCCACCGCCGATCCACGTCAAGTTCGACACAACCCGCCGCGAGCATCTCCGGTACCTCAAATCCGCAGGGGTAGTCCACCCAAACCCACAACTCCACAAGCTCCCATCTCCCGATTGCACCTCCAAAATCATCTCCATCGTCGACTTCTTCAAATCCAAGGGCTTCTCCAACGCCGACTTCCCCCGCCTCGCCTCCATCGGCCCCGAGCTCTTCTCCCCCAAATTCGACGTCTCCTACATCGAACCCGTCTTCCAATTTCTCACCTCCGACCTTGGAGCTTCCCCTGAACAGTCTCGGGGTCTGATCACCCGATGCCCCGACATTCTCTTCTCCGATGCGGAGCACTGTCTCCGGCTGACGCAGGACTACCTCAGGCGGGAAGCAAGTCTCGTTTTCTAAAAATAAAGAAATTAGGTTTTTTATTTTTGAATGAATGTAATAATGAGGTGGAAAATATAAAGTTTTTTTATTTTAATAATTTTTTAGTTGCCACGTCACTAAGTTAACGGTCAACTTTGAGAGTTGACTGCCACATCAGCAAAAGTTAACGGAGTTGGACGGACAGTGACCAAACATGAACGGTTTCAGTAAACTGAAGTACCACCAATGGATTTAAATATTTCGAGTGACCAAACATGAATGTTTTTTGTAATCTCAGTGACCAACCATGTAATTAACCCGGAAATAAAGATTTGAGAAACAGAGGAGAGAGAGGGGGAATAAAGATTTGTTCACGGCTCCTTCCATCTATTTTTGGAAACCCTAGTGATATCCTAGAAAAACTAGTGCAATTACTTTTTTATAATATTATTATTTCTAACTCATCCTCAGTTTCTCACCACTACATTTCAATATTTCATGGCTTTCTCACTTAGCTTAGTTATTGGGATGAATTGGTTCTTCCTCCGATAATAGAGTTTTTTACAGTAACGTAGTGTGTTTGAATCTCGATAAACTATAGTAGTATTAATGTAATGATTGATGCATAAATAATGAAGCGTGCAAGTGAATGATATATGCATATAAATAATTTATGTTTGAATGAATTATTAATATTATGATGATGCATGCAATCACCTAATATTGCTATGATGAATATGCTCACATATATTACTTGATAATGAGCTAATATGATAAGGATGTACAAATACAATACCTCTTGGTCAAAGGATCTGATGCATATCATACCTACTGGGAACAGATTGTTTTCAATGACTCTAGTTGTTATGGAAGGTTTTAGTATTAGTTTTGCATCGTTCATTTCAAACGTTTCCTTTTTAAAATGAAGCCAATCTATGTACTCAAAATTTGCGAAGGTTAACGTGTGATTCAATAACTCGAGTTCGCAAAAGAGAATAGTAATAATGTATTATACAGACGTTACCCAAACGGCCAAACTAATATTAATGTCTAGGCTTCATGTGGCAACTTCCCTTTCTTTAGTTAGGCCAGTAAGGTAGTTGGAAAAACTGAAACATTCAGTTGGAACTATGGAAATGATGGATGGTTAAGATATGAGTTACACTTATTTAAAATATTATTGGGTGAATTTATGACGAGTCAAAATAGGGAAACAAAACATATAACGAGACAAATGAAGGTATATTATTAATAAATCAAAATAAGATGGAAACTGTTATCTTATTAATGAAACCACAAAGAGTATAGAAATTTACAATAACTGACACTTATAATAACCATAATACTAATACAAAAAATTACATCCCTTTTATGAACATGATAAAGAATATACTTTGTCAGATTACATAACAATACTCGTAAGATAACATAATACTACTCGTAGTACTCATACTCCAATAAAAACAGGATGAAAATAGTATCATGTCTTGCCCAATACTATTGCGGATGAGGTATTATTACCCGCCCATTACAAGTCAGATCGGATAATACCCCATTCAAATTATCGCAAGTATTGAAAGGAAAATTTATTGCCGACAACATCGTAATCAAAGAAGCCATTTGTCGATCGAAGAGAATAAATAGTACAAAAATCATTCTTGACGTCTCCCAACAGCCAAGAGAAGGGCTCATGATCAACCACTAATAGAGTGTGGCACATGATCCTTGTAATTAGCTTTCTCTTTGTAATCGTTTGTTTGACACATCCAATGTAGTACTTAACAATCAGCCGACTGTGTTTGCTCTGGACGGCACCAAACTGATTTGTGTTTCCCCGCCGGTGGAATCATGCACACTCCGACCGGTTTCCGGTTGGCTTATATTTGCTCTTTCTCTCGCGCCACCACCTGCCTGCTGCAAATGCAAGCGGCTGCCGCCTAATTCTTAGAACTAGGTTCCGAATAACTTGTTCCCATTGATTTGTAGTTTCGCATCTATAATTTGCCAAAAGGGATATATCTACTTACCTGTCTTTGACAGCCATTGATTTGTAGTTTCGTATCCTGTAAACTTAAGCTGTCCACCTCAACCTCTAACGAATTACAGCCAAACTGCAGGCCGCCGTTTGTAATTATAATCAAATAGTTATGCTACTTAGCTTGTTACGTAATAGAATAATGTAACATCCATTTCTGAGATGTATTCGATTAAGTGGGATGAATCGATTTCTAGACATGGTATTAACGTCTTATTCACTAACCACTATTTTGTGTTCTAATTCTACACTGATCTGGGCATACTTGTTAATACAAAAAAAGGAGATGATCTATACTGAAATACGCTGACGATCGTATACAAATTTCAAACTCATGATAACTAGCTTTTGATTTGGAAGTCATCCAGACTATTGTAAATAACTAAATATCCTAGGTGTGACTACAGTTCTAAACTATGGGTTACGACTTAGGCTGGTCCGACTAATTACATAAATCAATATTATATCATCATTACCCAAGAGTTAGACAGTAAAAATGTCACATCTCATCGTTTTGATAGAAATGAAATTACCAAAATTATTCCGTATTAGGTCGATCATACTAATAAAATTACGTCTAGAAAATTTTATTCATTAATTGTTGATGAGATTGCAAATATAAATTATTCTGTATTAGGTCGATCATATTCTTCTTGATCGGCTTTTGTCCTCGTCTACCCACTCACACGTTATAATTATAAATTCAGCACACTTCCATGCATTAATGCTTCATCATTCACATCCCACAATAATACAACACACAATCCAGTTTTAGGGAAAGCCAACTAACTACGAACTATGGGTTCTTATCATGAGCCACAAAAACAACTCCCCACCATCGACCTCTCAAGGATCTCGCCGGCGCCGGAGCTAAGGGGAACGGAGGAATGGGATGTTCTGTGCAGAAAAGTACGGGAAGCATGTGAAGAGTACGGCTGCTTCGAGGTGGTGTACGAGCCTATACCGGTGGAGCTGCGGGCCGAGACGTTCTCGCTGATCAGGCGAGTCTTCGAGCTGCCGGCGGAGACCAAAGCGCTGAACTTCAACCCTAAGCCGTACCATGGCTACACCGGGGTTTATAACTTGTATGAGAGCTTGGGGATCGAAGATGCCTCCAACTGCGACTGTCTCCGGGAGTTTGCCGGCCTCATGTGGCCCGAACATAATGGCCATCGCCAGTATTTCTGGTACGATTTACTATCATGATACGTATTATCATATTGATACATGTGGTTTAACTTGTACGATCGACTGTCATAATACGTATTATCATTCAAATTTTAGATTGTTGTAGCTCTTGTTGTTATTCCTTACCTATGTCATTCACAAATCATCATGGTAAAATCAAAGAAAGACAAATATATGTAATATAAAAAAGAGATGATCTCATGGTGCTAAATAGAGAGTTTGAAAGGGAAACACAAGTTGACCTTTTAACAGGTAATTTCTAAATCCCTAGCATGAAAAGAAATAAAAAAATATTTGTAAGGTTTGTAAATTACTTATTAAGAATTAACAAACTCTTTTATTAATCATTTACGAACAATAAGAAAGATTAAGTAAACCTCTCGTCGCGCGTCGATGTTTATTTTGACGTTTCTCTGTTTTACCTAAGTCGAACGTATGAGTTATCATGTAATGACCAGACAAATTCGAAAACAACCTTTCTAATTAAAGTTTTTTTTTTATCGCTTAAATTTTCTCAGCAAGACGGTTGGCACCATGATGAAGCAACTGGAGGAGCTATGGCGGATGGTTGAGATGCTGATTTTGGACAGCTACGGCTTGACGAAAGCGACCGATGAAACGGCGTCGTCTTCCATCATGGAGTGCAAGACCTTGCTGCGCATAATGCAATACAAAGCGCCTCCAATGGGGAAGCCCATGAGCGGCCTGCCAACTCACACCGATAAGCCGCTCTGCACATTCCTCTGCGACGATCAAGTCTCCGCCCTTCAAATTGAGCTCAGCCAACCGCCGGGCGCTGGCGAAGAGCAGTTCATTTCAGTTCCTATCAACCCCACTTCTTTCTTGTTTATCGTAGGAGATCCTCTAATGGTACGACCTTCACATAAAAAATGTAACATCATTTCATTTGCCGTTTCGCCACATACATTTACTACTCTGCTGTCCTCCTGCAGGCATGGAGCAATGGGAGGATGCACGCAGTGAAGCACAGGGTGTTGATGAGCGGGACCAAAGCGCGATATTCGTTGGGAGCTTTCCAAATTCCGGTCGAGGGAACAGTGATCACAGCACCTGAGGAGCTGGTCGACGACATTGCTGGTCATCCGAAGCTGTTCAAGGACTTTGATTACAAGGATTTCATCAACTTCTCGCGGTCAAAGGAAGGGACCGACCTCCCTTCTCATCGCATGATCCACGCCTTTGCTGCCAGTGCTGATCACAACTGAAGACTCTACGAGTTCATATGTCGCTGCGCGAAACGATCTGGGTTTACCTTAGTTTCGACGAAAGGAGGCCTCGCTGTAGAGAAGTTCTGGCAGCACAGTGTGAGGCTGTCAAACTTCGTCGGAACATTCTGTATGCTTTTCATTTCTCCTCGGTTAATTGTTGTTCCCCCTCTGATTCAGTCAAAGGCACTGATAGATCAATAAGAGGACTTGAAGGATAAATACCTGGTTGGCTCGATCAAAGACAACAATGGAGAACTTTTAAGCCTAAACAAAGGGGGGGAAATGATCTGCAAGACAAGGCAAACCAAACTGTACAGAACATATCCGTGGACTAGGCAAAAGGTCTCTGGTCTGTGACTCTGTGCTGTCTGTTATACATCAAATAGTAGCTAGTAGAAACCACAAACTAGAACAGGTTCCTCAAATTCACTACGAAAGAAGAAAGAAAAGGGAAAAGGCTTCCTACATCAGAAAAAGACCAGTACCATGTTTACCAATTTATCATACAACATTGACGACATTGCAGAAGTGGGGGTTAGTTCATTCGAGGGAGGGTCATATATAGCTAGTAATGCTTCCCCCCAGAGGCAGGAAAAGATGCACTAAAACCATCCAAAATCCGTGTCATCTTTGATATCCTTCGCGAGTGTCACTTCCATAGTTTTACATACTTGTCATGACTGGCCGACGCGACTAAACCACCATTCACAGGTGTTACTGCCAGCGCAGCAATCAGCCCGTCGTGAGCTCCCAAAGTCATGGTTTTGTTCTCCGTCATGTTCCATAGCTCCAGCGACTGCCATTTCAAAACACCCCCAGTTTCTTAATGGCAGACATCTTACTGATTGAGAAATGAGATAATTAAGGCATCTGTTAGGTAAGGTACTTGCCTGGTAACAACCGATAACTAGCAACGAAGGGTAGGTGGGATGGAAAACACCGGAGTGGAACTTGTTGCCGCTGCAGCTCAACTCATGAACACATTCTCCCTCGCTCCCTGACCCGAGTCTCCATACCTTGACCGAGTCTTCGCTAACTGATGCTAGATAGTCGCCCGTGGGATCCCAGCACACGGTATGTATTGGCTTAGTATGTCCCTGCAGGAAAAAACAAAATTCCCCGCTCATCGACATTAATAGAAGTGGAGAACTCTGAAGACATTAATATCAAGAACTTGATATCACTAAGCGAATCAAGGTCCTTCATAACAAGAAGTTGACATTTTGATTAGCTAATTCCTTTCTCAACATGAAAAAAAAAAAACTTTGAGCATTTGCTTTTGAACTCGAAAAGGACTCATTTATCCAGACAATAAATGAAATGTGACAACGGGAACTTACAAAGGTTAATTGAAACGAACTGAGATAACCACAAACCTGTAGTGAATGTAGACAAGCCTGGGTTTCAACGTCCAATACAGATACCACATTCTCAGCAGCTGCAGCAAGATATCTCCCTGTACGGGGTTGGAATCTCATCTGAGCAGTGCCACCCTAAGCCACAGACAAAACAATCGACCATCAGAAATCTGCGTTCTGCTAGGTTCACAATACATTACAAACAAAAAACCCAACACTTTATATAGTATATACCTTGAACACTCTTTGGCAACCATGTATAATGCTCCAATAACGTATTTCACCATCCCCGTCACATGAGCATATAAGGTCGTCTTTATTTGGGTGGAAGTCAAGGGACATAACAGAAGCAGAATGGCCAGTGAATGTTCGTAACGTGTAACCAGGCTGCAAAACCATGGAAAAGAATAGTATATATAACCTCCAAGGCTCCAACTAACACTTAAAGACAAGAGGGAAGATCCACATCATAAATCCAGCCACATAAAAACACGAAGCATTCAAACAGAAATAGCAGCAAAGACCATATAATCCAAATGAACAACATATAATACTAACATTGTCAGCATCCCAAACCCTGACAGTTTTGTCAAAGGATGAAGTTGCAAGACGTGGCATGCTTGGACTGAAACGGATATCTGTTATCAAAGATGAATGTTCTTCGAGGGTAGTTTTTGGCTTCAAAGTGTCAGTGTACCACAGTACAGCCTGGAGAAAGATCAAAACAATAAAAATTCACAATCTTTTCAGTATATATACATCGACAAGAATTTCACCAAAGAAATATATATACATCAAGAAGAAAAATGTCCTAGCAGTATTATCCCATTTTTAATGCAGGTAGGTAACTCATGCCATTAATGACTAAACACATACAATGATCTCCAGAAGTAAGTCTTGCATTGAAAATCATAAGTGTCCCGTCCATTTACCTTTTTGTCATGACCACCGCTAGCAAGCAACTTGCCATCAGATGAGAAGTGACAGCATATCACTTTGCTCGTGCTGGCCCTGGTAGCATTCACTTCTTTAAATGAGAACCCTGAAATTTAAGAGAAATTTAGTCGCTCGAAAATCTTTGCTGACGAAAAGAACTTTACAAGTAATCAGGAAGTCAAGATTGATTTGAAGTATCTGCTGGCACACCTTGGCTGACATCCATTCGAGGCCCTGTATCTCTTGGATCAGCATCATCATGGGATAAAAAAGAATCAACGTTATCCTCAAGGGATCCATCCTCCACAAAACGATCCATATCAGCCTGCAATTCAATTTCCTCATCATCCCACAGTAAAAAAGGGGATTTTTGCAATGAGAATCACAGCAGCAAGGAATTCCATTTTCTGTTGCCGATAAGCAAACAACAAACACCTACCAATTCTGGTGTAAAAAAAAACATACACCTACCAATTGATTTGATGGTGATGTCAATGTGGCAGCACCATCAGTACCAAACATCATCAGAGGCTGAGAAGAACTACTACTATGGGGTAAAGCAGGCATTGACATCACGTCGTTAGGAGTGTGAGTCGAAGGTGTTGAGGGTGCTGAGCTTGGAGATGGCCCAGTCGTGTTTGCAGTTCCAGAGCTATTGGCCGGGCCAGAAGATGATACTGGCTGTTTTCTCTTCCTCCCAGTCTGACTTTTAGAAACCTTGAAACAAAATATAAAAAGAGGGAATTTTGGATACACGTTAGCAACCTATACGGTATATCACAAAGTTTTTTTAGAAACATACTAATAGATCAAAACCAGCTAACATTATTGAAGATTGTTCTGCCGCAAAGACCAAAAACATCTTGAACAAAAACGACAGAAACATGATTCTATGCATTATGCAATCAGTGTGCACTTTTGGGGCAAACTTGTATTTTCAATTAGTCTTCTGTCATCCTGGAATGGATAAGACTTCCAAGAAGCTTGTTTTAGCTCCATTTAATAAATATATAGCCTTAAGTAACCCTCTTAAGGGAATCTAATAACTAAGCTCTCCAATCAAACACAAACGCTTCCCATTTTCAATTTCTACCTTCTAAACTTCAATTTTTATAAACTTCATCTATTTTTTAGCTTAAAATAAATAAAAAATTACATTTCCTATTTTACAACATATTCCCCAAAAATTTAGAAAGTAGAAGGTCTTGATAGTAAAAACAAGTGTGGCTCAATTAACCTTTTTCATAATACCTACAGGACTTCGATAATTATCTTTCACTCAAAAAGTTACTCTACAACACCTCCAACTGAACAGTCAACTTCCTACTAACTTATGTAGCCAACTTCTCTTACAAATCTTCTATTGATTGATACAAACAGATCCAAATTTTCTGGTGAGTGAAACTTCGGATGAGCACCAACAAACAATTTGAGTGCCAAGATAAAAGAAGTCAGAGCCCTCCTTAAGTTGAGAATGACAATAAGAAAGGCAAAAACACGAAGATTCCAAAACATGGGCGAAATGAAGTTCAAAAAGAAAGCAGACCTGCTCATTTCCACGGAAAGAATTGGAAAGGCTACCATCTGCAGTAACACTGCCACCACCACCCATCTTATCTTGTTGATGAAGATTGTGATTTGAACTCTGTGATTGCTGGTTCGACAAAGAATGCTGCTGCGGATTACTATTTTGTTGCTGCTGCTGTTGTTGTTGTTGTTGTTGCTGCTGCTGCTGTATTTGAGCCATTTTTAACTAGAAATGGAGGGCAGTGTCAGAACTTCTCAACAAAATACAGAGTTGCACAGCACCATTACTTGGAAGCGAAGAGTAACAGGAAACAACTAGCTGAATCAAACTGGCAGAAACGTACACACCTTAATCAACATATCAGTATCTCCACGACCCATTAGAGGACCACCAGCTTGGAGAGGTGATCCTACATTGGGAACAACATCACCAACAGAGTTTGCAAGGCCATCCTTTCCCATACTCATACTTCGGTTATTCAATAGCATTCTTAGTTTTCTGGTCTCCTCACTTGCAGCTGGTGAAGTTAAACTTTGTTGTGCAAGCATAAGCTGTTGCTGATGTTGAGGCGTCAGCATCTGAAGCTGATGAAAGGGCTGAGGAGCCTGTATGAAAGGCTTTTGCTGCTGAAGAAGTCCAGAGCGAAGTGGATCAAATCCCTACAAGAAACAAAGCAGCTGGACTTCAGATCAAATGTGTAAAACAATATTTCAGAGTACAGACATTGAAACATCTAAAATTATTAAAACATCTACACTGTGATTGCAGGAGCTACTGCACACACGGAACTTACAGTGAGTGGCCATCCTTTTAAAGTCAAATTATTTCCACCTTGATTTGAACCTAGACCAAAAGATCATACATGAGTGAGAAAAATGTCCAAGACTAAGTAATGCATAAATAGTATACCCATCTCAATATAATGCATAGCGCCGGAGGCGCAAATAGATATATATTAAGCATATAGATATTAACCACGTCCGACTTTTTCATTTCGTCCATTACTTTTTATAATCTGAATTAATTATTTTCATCCACCCAAGAAAACAAAAAAGTGGCAGGCATAATACCAGGTATTCCCATCAATGATCCTTCTGAACCAGCAGATCTGGGGTTCAGAACTGGATTGATCTCAGTCTTTATATCCTGATCCCACACACAAGTACGTCAGAAGAAGATATTAACCATGGAAACTGAAAAGAGTAACATATTGTTAAAGGTCCATACTGGAGATGATCCAGGAAGCTGCTGGCTCCGAGCCTGTAATTGTGGAGACATTGCACCAGCTGCTCCATGCAACACTTGCCTGATATGAAAAGCAATGAGCTCTGGTTTAGGCATGGGAATGCTACCAAATGCATAGAAGCGTCGGTTTACAAGCTCAGACAGTACATTGTCACGCTAGCACTTGCATAGATGCATAAAATGTTCCACTAGTTGACCAGACATTAAAAGGGGAAGGAGCTTTTACTTTAAGTGGAATGATATAGTTCCTTGTATATCAGTACCACAAAAAAATAATCTTTTATAGTTTTATTTGTATTACTTGACTTAAGACAAATAGTAAAAGTGAAACGAGGGGGAGAAATATACTGCATGAAACAAACCCTCTAACTCATTGAACCACAGGTTTGAAATTTGCCTCTATGAAGCCCGTGGTTACTGCTGAAACTTGAAAATTAACAATCAAGAAAGTTCGGCTTTGAAGCAACAAAATCCACAAGGTTCAAATAAAATGTACGAAGAAAGTACCCTGAAGCTTGGCCTGTTGCTGCAGCAGATTTCAAGATTGAAGCATGGTTTGGATCCATAAGTTGGCTTACATTTTCACCAAACCTTTGCTGAAAAAAGTTTCAAAGTTGAGTGTGAGATATCACATGGTGCCCCATAGTCCAAGTAAATCCAGAGAGAAAGTTCGGCCTACCTTCATTGCTGCATCATCCAAAGAGTCCCTCTGCATTGGTAGTTTCAGTCTCTCTTCATACATTTTTGTGGCTAAAGCATTAGCAGTTCCAGGGTTCTGGCGCATGATAGGGTCATTTCCTGCAAGCCCATTTGTATTACCATTTAAGAGATGAGCACCATCCCTTCGCTGCTGCTGCTGTTGCTGGGACGTTGTCGGCTGCTGTTGCTGTTGTGGTGGTGGTTGCTGCTGCTGCTGCTGTTGCTGCTGCTGTTGTTGCTGTTGTTGCTGCTGTGCATGCCTCTGTAATAGTATCTGTTGCATATGCAATTGCTGTTGTTGTTGTTGCTGCTGCTGCTGCTGCTGATGTTGTGGTTGCTGACCCTGTTGCTGTTGTTGTTGCTGTTGCTGCTGCTGCTGCTCACGTGCTTTGATCAATTGAGTCTGAAAGTCAACACATTTGATTTATCGATGTGCGCAGAGGGATACTATTCATTTTTACAAAGAGCTTTATGTTGGAAGAAGAGTAATGTGTAACTAGCAGTCAAAGCAAGTTTAGAACACCCCGAAAAAGAAGTACACAGAAAATGAAGAGGTCCAAAATGCAACAGATATGAGGAGTTCACAGCCCCTATGTTTCTCTATGGAGTTGGATCTCCTATCAAGGGAAGAGTCCTTCAAATTATAGGATCTGAATAACATAAACAGCAATCAAATGATATCTGTTTGTACAGAATCATTTCCCACACTAAAGCTGTAAAACAAAACAGCTCCGTAGCCACTTAAGATTGAAGTAAGCAGGAAGGAAAATAGATGCAAGAAGTGCACAACTAGATCATCAACAACAGGAGCAATCAATAGAACAGAAACATCCATCATAAGCTTATCGGGGAGAAAGATTCAATTTGCTTCTCAATGTTCAAGCACTTGACAGAAATTGAATTTGGAGATGAATAACTGTTGATGTAAATCACTGGCAGCAATGGATTGTAAAACCCCACAAAGACACAGCAATTCTTGGAAGTCTCTCAAAATGAAACCCAAGCACGGAAGAGCAAAGGAAGTTAACTCAGAAAAGTAGACTTGCAACATTATCTGGCCATTGCTAAAGTTCATTACTGGAGAAAACAGAAACAGCATTCTAAATCAACAGCAACTAAAGATTATATATATGTCGCACAAGAAACTAAGAGTTGTTCTTTGGAACAGAACATAAGCAAACAGCTCAGCAGAAATATTTGAATGTTCCACTGACGGCCCCACTGGAATTTAGCACCAAGTTAATTATTCCGCAATTACTCACTCTTGCCACACATAACAAAACCTCAGACCCAAAGTAAAAACTAATGGAAGGTAAACGGTGTGTCAGACAAACCTCAATGTAAGATGCTGCAACCTCGGAATGCTTCTCATTTGTCCTAGCAATAAATATGTCCCAGAAGACAGACCACCACTCAAAGAGAAATCCTCCAGGGGCGTCGATAGCTGAAACCATTACGAAGTATTCAAAGGAACCCGAAAAAAGGGCAATAAAAAAAGTAGTTCAAAGAATCAAGGGGACTCACAAAATTCAAAAAACCAATAGATTTCAGAGATACTGACCTACAGGATCAGAAGACACTTTCCCTTCAGCTTGAAAAGCCTGGGCAGAAGCCTTTAAGTCCCTCTTCACCAGATAATCATGGATGTAAACATCCAGCCTGTTATCAATAGTGAATCAAGCAGTGAGCATAATTAACGAAATGATTGCCCTACATGACTCAAACTATCCACAGGAAAAACAGAATAATCTTTACAAAATGAAACAGATTGGAGTCAGCATTGGCATTTGCATATCAACTCAGACTAGGATAAAGAAATAGCAGGTAAAACCATGCCTTTCAATTCTAAATCCAGAAAGAGAAGGGTGGGGGCAGAAGCAAGCTGCAGAACTAAGAACTACAACCAGATATAGAAGTAAATCGTTAAACTCAAGACTAGAACCTAGCTCGGCATAACAAACCCCACAAACAATTACCAAAACTGAAAACAACTGTTGAAGAATTCAATCCCTAGAATAGTAATGTCACACAAACATATCATCGAACATCAAAAGAAGCGCACCAAAGACCTCGAGCCTTGCAGCTGGGCACGAGTTCCCACAAAACCCCAGAACCCCCAAATCAAAGAGCACAACACTGAATCAGAAAGAACACCAAGCATGTCCGGACCCAGAAACTCACATTTTATCAGCTTCCCAGTTGGCCTGAGACATGTTTGCCGAATCTACAAAGCTCAGGTCATAACAATGTCGCCGTGGTATGTCAGAAAGCTGCGTCTGAAGCAGCTCGCAGCTCCCCCTTCCAAACTCTGAGATTTCAGCACAGAAATGCAAATACTTTCACCAGCAAAGAACCAAACTTTCCAGCTACAGTGAAACAGAATCTAACTACTCCCCCCACAACAGAAACCCAGAAAACAAACTTTCGCGAGGGAAGCTCCCAGAGAGAGAAGAGAGAGGGGGTGATGAGCAGAAAGGAAGAATCTTTTGGGGAGGAAACAGAAGGAAAAAAGAAAACAGAGCTGAAAATCCCTTCGGTTAAACTGAAACTGGAACCCCAAAACAAAAGAAAAGCGAAAGACGATAGAGATATTACCTGCAAATAAACGTTTATTTGTCTGGGAAAGAAATTCTCTTTTTTTTTTTTTTTTTTGTTGCTTTTTGTGGAAGAATTTTATTTTCTCCTTCGTAGCTCTGATGGATTGAGAGTTGCTCTTTGCAGTCGCAGATATCATGGCGTGGCCTGGTGTTCTATGTCTATTTACCAGAAAGCCCCTCGTATCCTGGCTTATTTATAAGTTAGTGCCATTCGCTAATCGACAAACATCTAGGCGAATTGACTATAAGGACCTTGTAATTTTTCTTTCGTTTCGCCCTGATCCGATGGGCCTTGGTTGCAGTTATGGTGGACTTGGCGACTTTATGTGGGAATAAAAATAATTACAAAATGCTACAGCAATCAATCAGCTTTCTCTCTATGGCAAAAAAAAAAAAAATCAATCAGCTTTCTCTCCTTTTTACGTAGTAGGGACTAGGGTTCCTTGGCACCGCCCCAAATGTTTAGTCGTTTTACACGTATTGCCCCAAAACTTTACAAACTTGCATTTTCGGATCCTAATTGATGTGGCAAATCATAATGGGGTCGTTTGGATTAGTGTTTTGTTTAAGGGATTTGGACACTATCTCTCACAGTGAGAGATTTTAATTAAAATCACTTATTTGGGAAGTATTTTTTCGATGAGAGATTTTAAACATTCCGGATTCTAGAAACCCACATTTGTGGAATTGTGAAATAGTTGATGTCCATCAGCTATTTAGAAATTCCTCAATATTTTGGCAATTTGTTCCATAATCAATATATACCCATGCTTTTTTCTGAAAATCCAACTGTACCTTCTTCTATTAACCCTTTGTTACTATCTGTCTGTCCTTCAATTATGTCTCTGCCACAACGTTGGACCTCGTCGTTCTGTTTTAATCCCACCCAAATGAAGCTGCTCGAAGACGAACCAGCATCTGCAGCTGAGTGCTGACCGTCAGCGACTTAGCTTCGGAGAGTAGGGAATCTGCGGCGACGAATCCTTCTTCCAACAGGTGAGTTCGTGAAACCCTCCTCCGTTCTTCCTCCTTAGCTTGTTTTGGTGGGATGCGATTTCGTCTCAATCAGAATCTTTTGGGTTTTGGGTTTATAGCGTGCTTGTGGTTATTTGGCGAAGAAGAGCAGAGGGTACCAAATCGTTTCTCCTATTGTTTGATCTTTGGGTGACCGCACGTCTCTCTTATTTGGCTGCTTCGGAAACGGGAGAGAGCCGGTGAAAACACGCTACAAAAAAAACACCCGGAGCAGATGAAATTTCTTCTACTCCGCCATCTTCCGATCTCTTGCTTTACTTTTTCATTCTGCTTAGTAGTTTTCATCTCCGATTTCCTTCTAATAATCATATCTTAATCGTCTGCCTGAGTTTGAAGGCTATCGATTGCATGGAGTTATACAATGGCTGGAAGTAGTAGGCTGATTAATGGATGATATTTTCCGGTTAAAAATTAGGGGAGGCAGAGAATTTTACAATTCAATATTAATACCAACGAACACAATTTGTTTAATATGAAATTAGTATGCTCTTGATAGTTTTAGGGCGAATTAGGAGAGCAGAGGTACCAAATCGCTTCTCCTTTTGTCCGATCTTTGGGTGCCCGCCCGCACCTACTAGTTCTAATTTTTTTGATCTTTGGGTGGCCCCGCAGAGGAACGACGGAATGACGATTTGTGAGGGGAGGGTGAGGGGAGGAATGGCAGAGAAGAAGAACTCAAGAAGAGGAAGAAGAGCTATGTTCATCCTTTCTCTTCTCTTGAGTACAGATAAGGAGTTTTAAAGGGTAAAAATGTTATTTTTTCATTTTTATTTTCATTTTAAAATCCCATATTAGTTGCCAAACGAGTAATTTGGCAAAAATCCCACACAAATCTCTTGAATTAAAAACCTGGGTTTTAAAACGAGTGATTTGATCTCAAATCCCTCTTAAATCACTCGAATTAAAACACTAATCCAAACGACCCCAATATGAATTTCATTTTGGTTGATGAAAAGATGATCGGGTAGGAGAAATCAATTTGAGAATTTCAATCGATTCGCATGATTTTATCTTCTTTACTTGTTATACATGGTCTCGTTAGTAGGTAATTCGGGGTGCGATACAAATTATTTTCTATATCCCGTCTTTCTATCACTAATTTAGTTTTTATGTAAATATCATGATGTTGCAAATGTAAAAAAAAAAATTGTATATCAGAATCGTTCACCTGTACCTGCATAAGCATTACCTAGGGGTGGGCACGTGGGTAGGTAATCCGCGGATTGATATCAATCCACCCGCAAATAACCCGACCCGCACGTAGTGGGTGATTGATGTGGATGGATTGCGGATTGATAAATCTCCCACCCGCACTTAGGTGGGTGGGTGGTGGGTGGATTGCGGGTCACTCGTATGACCCGCATCCGATTTATACATGCAAACTGTTGTGTCTTATAGTATCAAATATTCATCATATTTTTGAACCGTACTACAGTCTGACCATATACTTCTAAAGTTGAAGAATAAAGAATAGTTTTGACTATTATTATTGGCTATTGTGTTGTGCAATATCCATTAGACATTGAATATATGTATGCAAATTATTGTTAATTGAAAGAAAGAAACCCGCCGCATGCCCGTGTACTGCACACACAGACACCTTTTACTGTACAACGTGACTGAGATTTACTGTTTCAAACTGGCGTGTCCTTCGGTGTGGGCTATTGTTGGGTGAGGCCTCATTTGGGATATGGCGGGGTTTGGGGGCTCGGTCGGGGTGGGACTGGTCGTTGGCTTCTGGTTGGCCTTAGTTGCGGTCGTTTGGTGGCCCGGACGCGCGTTGGTCATCAGAGATCGGTATGTGACTTTGCCCCTGCCCGGCCACGTGGGATGGGGCCTTCAGATGTGCTCAGTAAGTCTTGCGTGATATCATTGTGTCTGTTAGGGATTCCGGCTGTTGTTCGCAGGACTGTGTTGGCTGCGGTTGGAGGTACTTTGGGAATGGTGGACAACTGATTGATACCGGTTATTCACCTGAGGGACGGGGCCTTCAGATGTCCTCAGTGAGTCTTGCATGATATGATTGTGTCTGTTAGGGATTGCTAAAGGGTCGTGTTGGGTTGTTGTTCCCAGGACTATGTTGGAGAAACTTGGCGGCTGATTGGCTGGGATTGGAGGTGCTTTGGGAATGGTGGGCGGCTGATTGATGCCGGTTATTCACCTGATGGCGGGAGGGTGTCAAAAAGTTCACTGTTTCAAGCACTGTGGACGTCATTCAGTTCCTCGATGCGTGCGCTCAGGTGGAGAAGGCCATTTCTCATTCTTTTTGCATGCCTCGATGCGTGCGCTCAGGTGGAGAAGGTCATTTCTCATTTTTTTTGCACAAGAGGACTCATTCTCGGAACGCATTTCCCTCTTTTTTTCTCCCCTCTTTTTTCTCTGTGGTTCAGTTGTTGTTTTCTCGCCTTTTTCCTCGCCATGGATGCTACTCTGCTCTGCAATCTCAAAGGAGGTACCAGAGAGGTGACTCTGAGGCTTCGTCTGCTCCATATGTGGTATGCCAAGAATCCTTCTGGGACAAGGGTGTTTAATCACTGTTGCCTCTGTGTAGATCAGACGGTAGATTCTCTTACGCTGATTCTTTGTGATTACAGTGCTTTCTGTTTTTTTGCTCTTTTTTTTTCCTTCTTTGCTCTTTCTTTACTGTCTTTTTTTGTTTTTGATTCAGGGTATGCTCATTCAGAGCCTTGCTGATGTCTCTATTGGGTCTGAATTTGAGCTTGTGCTGCGCGTGGGAGTTATCTACGTTCTAAGGTCTTTTGGTCTCAGTGCCGCAAGGAATCTCTATCGTGCTTGCTCATTTGATCTGATAATAGAGTTGTCAGCAAAAACTATTTTCCAGGCCTGTTCTCTACCTGCAGCTGAATTTCCAACTGATTCCTTTGAGGTTGTTCCTTATAGTGAGCTGTCTAACCGTTCAGGGGACAATCGTATCCTTGCAGGTGATTGTTGCGTTTTCTTGACTGAAATGAATTGGGTTTTATGTCTTCTTACTGCTCTTTTTTTCGGTCAGATGTTGTCGGCCGTCTTCATTCTATTAGCGGGATTGATCATCAGGTTACTAATCACGGCTCGACTCCAAAACAAGTTCTGGTCCTTGAGAATGCACAGTAGGTCTTTTGTGTTATTTTATTTTTCCACTGGGGAATACTGTTTCGTCACTGTCACGTAAGATATGATCCTTTGTTTTGCTGTCAGGGGCCAGAGAGTGTCGATCACGCTTTGGAATGAACTGATGGCAGTCCTTGATCGACCTGCTTTGATTCAGGCGGACTCCATTGAGCCAATGATCGTTGGAGTTAGGGGGCTCATGGTTGGTCGTTTGATAGGTGTGTATTTTAACTCTTTTCCATTCTGCTTGATCATAAATTGTGAACTGATTTTGTTTTTGTTGTGTAGCTGGTGAATATTCCTGTTCGAGCTCCTCTGGAACCCGTATAGTTATTAGCCCGAGGATACCAGAAGCATACAGTCTCGTTGCTTTGTGGGTTCTTTGTTGTTAAACTGTGATTTTGTTGTTCCAGATTTGCTTTGTGGTGTTTGGTTTGCTTTACTTTTTTGTGTCCATCTATACAGTTTTG